ATGGTTACGCTACTTTTATTTATTCTTTCAATTTAGCGTTCTCGTAAGTTCTACGCTTCGAACGTTCTACTCCGAATGTTCCAGAAACTCACGCGGGTACAAAAGGTGCCCCGCGGGGCGGTTTGCGATCCGTTTTTCGCCAGCGCTCGAGCCAACATCCTCGCCAACGCCCGCGACGCCCTGTTATTCATTTCAGGTATTTCCTCTTTTGTTTGTAATAGCACAAGTCTGCCATTACACTTTACTTCCTTTAGTTCTTCGCCGCCCCATCGTTTGTCACTCGTGACAATATTTAGCTATCGCGTTTCACTCTTGAAGGCGAAGCTTGTGCGTCATCCTGTAATTTTGTTTCTAGCAATGGTGTATCCAGGAATGTTTTTCTGCGGAGAACGGGAAAAGGGGGGAGGGGGGGGGGGGGTGTGACCTGAATCTCCGTAACTTGGGGGGGGGGGGGGGGGGGGAGGAGGGAGAAAAAATGCACGTTAGCGTGTCTCCAAAAATTAAATACAGTTTTTTTTTTTTCACCGCAAAAATATATTACGCAAGCCCGAACGCTCATTTACCGCCTAAAGGCAGCGCCCGAACGAGATACCAAAGTTTTAGCAGGGACCGATATTTTATTCAAAACATTATAAGCGATTTCTTGTGAAAATTTTAATGGGAAAATGGTGGTCGAGGAAGTTCTCGAATCCGTGGAGCTCTATGGCACCAGAAACCGAATACGGGCAAAAGTTGACCCCCCCTTTTCCCCATTGAAATTATCAAAAATACACCTATTACTTTTGAATAAAATATCGGTTTGTGCTGAAACTCTGGCATCTGGTTTGATCCTCTAGCGCTCGCTACATTTGGGCTGAAGATGAGCGGTCGGCGATGCCTAGTTTAATATTGCAATAAAAAAAAAGTTTTTGCAAATTTGCTTTGGGAGGACACCCTGTTTATTATAGCCTCGGCTGGGATTTCATGTAGAAGGGGGAGAGGGGAGGGCGGGTGGGGTGTTCTGAAGCACCATCCCCAGGCTACGTCACGGGTACTCTATAGACCTTTTCACCCTCCACCGCATGGGCGCTGCCATCTTGGAATCACGTGATGCGGCCGCCATTGGGTTGCTTCAACTTGTCGCTCCGCTCTCCCGTCCGCGCCTTGGCGGATGCGTTGAATTCGTGTTTTTCGTCGCGTTTCACCGCGTCTCTTGCCTTACTCCGTAAAGTGTCGTCCGACACTTCTACTTACCATGCAATTGCATTACATCATTATGCGCGCAACTTCTGTAATTGATTTTGTAACACGTTTTGAATATTTTTTACCGTCGGCGTGCGGGATACGTGTGAAAAGGTTTTATAGGAACAGGAATCAGCTTTAGCACTTGCGCACATTGAGAACATATAGGACTTGAAGAGAGCCTCGAGGGTTCAAATACCAATAACTTATGAGAACTGAAGTTTGGTTACTAATAAGGGCGGAACATTTGCAATAGGAAGCCCAATGTTATTATATATATATATATGAGTGCGCATTGGTGTCAAGGAAGAAAACAAAACCACTCAGCGTAATTAGCCACGTGTTTTTCCTGAAAAAATGGTGTTTTGTAGTTCCAACAGATCGAAAACAGTTTCTTTTGATTACGCTAGGGAAGTATAGTGGACAGGGCGCGGGAACAAACATTTAGTTTGAATAATTTTTTATGCTAGAAATAATGGTACCTTAGCATTAGGCAACTTGTTTGTTCGCAAAATCACACCTATATCTGTTTTACGTTCTTAATCGCGTGTGTGATATAAGCATTCGCTTTATCGGTTTATTTATGAATACCACGGAATTGTATATCGTGCTTGGTCCCATGTCCATAGTTTTCAGTTGCTTTAGTAATTTTTTTAATATAACCATGCAATTTCAATTAATTTATTTCAACACAAATAATTGGACTCCCTGCGTAAGAAACTACCACAGACAGCTTGATAGTGCCTATGATTCATAAAATGTGACGCCGAAAAGAATCCTTCTGCATGAAAATCACCAGAGTGCAGCCAATTGTCGACGGCGCATAGGGAGTTACTTTCAGTAGATGGCGACGTCAAAATGTGCAAAGAGCATCGTTTCAAATCAGTGAACAGCTTTCTACACAGGTCCATTGGGTGGCGCCTGGCGTTCGACTTCAGCCAAACTTATCGGAAATCATTTCTTTTGCGCTCTTCAATTTCATTCGGCAAATTTTACGGAAGATGAATATCAGACTTTATTTGAAGCCTGGCATTCACTTATATTACCATTCTCATACCCTGAGAACGTCGTAAGCAAATGTCCAAATGACAAAAAGTTTATTTCATAAGGCCAATATTTTGAAATGCTGTAAATGAGTACTTTAGTTAAAGGAATTTTATAGTCAGCATAGGCTGGTCTATCAAAATATTTGTCGAGAGCTTAATTTCTTTAAATAAAACAGGCCGAGACAATATCACTTTTTTATATTATCTACGTGATTATATTAAACTCGTCTAGTCATTATAAAATACATTTCCAGTCTCGAAGTTAGAAAAGGTTGGTGTACGGAAACCAAACATCGAACAGTAAACTTGTCAGTTCATCTGTTCTTGGTGATTCAGCAGATTGTTAATCATGTTGTCGACCTGATTTTTCACTAAGCACTCATGCAATATAGTCTATTGCAATATAAGATGATCAGTTTAATATCTGACTTGAGCGCGAGCTATCTACTTCCGTACCGCTCGGTGCACGCACAGCCAAAGCACGGCGGCAGGCAACGAGCGCACTGTGCAGGCGGAGCTTGTCCTGCTCTTTATTTTTTTTTCTTGAAATTAGTGTCCGCGGGTACGGCCGTGGACAATGGTACCCCTCCCTGTGCATCAGCGCAGTTGTTTCACCGCCGAACCTGGCCGAAATTAATGATGGACGGAAGCAGACGCATATAGTGTTCGTAAAAAAAGATCGCAATTTAGGCTCGAAACCACTTCGTGGTTTGCCAAGTGGCTCAATACTATTGTTTCATTCGCTGTGTGCTACTAGAAAGAAATTCATATCGCAAAATTATTGGAAAGTGGCATGAAACAGCATCACAATCGTGTGCACGTTGAAACCGAAACCGACCAAATTGAAGCAACCTAATGGCGCCGAGTGCGCCAGCGCCCTCTACCCGCCCGTCAGGGAACTACTGTAATGAAAAGGTCTATACTGCACACGTCGAATGCGTTCGGTCGCGAACGGCAAACGCCGGACACCTGACCGAGCGGAGCCAGGGGAAGGGAGGGGGGGGGGGGGGGGGAGGAGGGAAAGGGAACGCGGTGCAACGTGGAGGTGGCCATATTAAAACCGCTTACGTTGCCAGCATAGGTTTTGCAGCAAAAAAGTTGCTGCCATATACGGCGAACTGAGTTTTACTTTTTTTTTTGTTCTGGAAAGAGAATGTATTGTTGTGTTACATAAGTCCTCCTGCATACAGAAAACGTAGTTTAATTGTATTTATCTTGTTTAGTTGGTTTGAAGCCATAAAAACGGGTTTTCGACGGCTTATTGCTTCCATCATTTTGGAGTACGCAAGGCAGCTATCTCGCTGCTCTAGTTTCGGTTACAGAATCAAGGCAAAACACTCGTAGTTCTCGCCCTAAGTACACGTTGGACATCCTCTACAGTTTAACACCGGATAAATGGATGAACAAGAATTTACATTTACTTCACAGGTCACGTTCTCACCGCTTCCTCACCGTCGAGCAGCCGCATCAGCTGGCGGCAAGCCGCGGATGAAAGGCTTCTGCATCAACAGCCCAAATGCACTTATACTTCGTTTCAGCTTCGGTCCAGACTCAGCCGATGCTACAAGCGCGAGCGTATGGCCCAGAACAGTGCTTGCACTGCACGAGCGCGCGTGCTTGGCAGGGATGCTGAAAGCCCGGAGCTCGCGCTTGTAGCTCTGGCTGCGTCTGGACCGAAGCTGAAACGAAGTATAGTGCCGATGCGGGCTTCTGTCAACCGGGAGGCCAGCACAAACCGTGACCGCTCCAGCTCTTCGTCATGACACGGTGTTGCAGAAAGCAGGGTGAAATACAACTACACGGTCCACCGCATCAAGCGCACTGTTATCGTAATTCTTGGCTTTTGATTGCGGCTTTGTTGATCATTTTTTTCGTTTTGCTGGAAAGACGCAAACGACGGGCATAACAAAGTCGTTTGCATATTCTGCATACCTCGCAAAAGCACTTACCCAGCCACCTTGCGAAAAGCGCGAAACACGGAGTCCGCACAGTCCTGATTTCCCCTGTCTTTTACCTGCTTTAGAGCAACATGCTAGTAGGTATGTCTACTGAAGCTGAAACTTGAGGAAAGTGCCAGAGAGAAAAGAGACAAAGTTGGGAAAGCTTGCTCGCTCACCCCAATTTCTCAACTATCGAGTGATTTTACCATAATAAGTTCACTAGCACCCCTTCCCAAAATAAAGAAAAAGCACTTTGTTCAGTAAAACGATGGTCTCAGTTCATACATATGTGGGCAGGTAGGAAATATCGCCCTAATTTATTCACACCGCATGATGAGCGCAACGAACTCACATGATCGAGATTTACAGGAAAATATCGTGTTAAGTTTTTCTGAAATTTTGTATAACCGGTTGGCTCCAACGAAACGGTACGAACGGCGCATATGCTCCCGCAGGAGATTTGCGCATGCGCAGTTCGTACCGGAGAGCCCGTCGTATTGTATCTAAAGAGGAAAACCGGTTCTCTAAAACTCATTATTTTTTAATAAGATAACGGTTAGCACGGAAACGTTTGCGCCCGGTCCAGACCGCTGGCGCTACATTTCGGAGGAGACTTTGCGTTTGAGAAACGTTGCTTATTTTTTTCACTGAAAACAAACAAACAAACAAACAAATACTACATTTGTTTTCAAGGGGACACGCTGTGCATATGGCCGCCACTGAAAACGGGACGCATGGTTCCCTGGACGAGGCTTGTGCGCACACATCACTTGGTGAATATATAGAGCTTCTTGATAGAGTTTGGATATATGGACACCTTCCCTTTATTGACAATAACAAGTGTGCAGTCTCCAGTGAGCACCGTTCAGTTAACAACTTTTTCTTGGGACGGTCGATAAGAGTACTATAAAACTCCGTAAATAGCACCCGAAATCGGAAACCCTGTTACAACACGTTGTTTGAATCTTCTCAAACACTTTAAGGACGTCTAGACGTATGTTTAGATTTTGATTAGATCGACGTAAAAATGTCGTGATTTTCAAGCTTGATTTCAATATGCTTGTGAGAATAATCTGTCCTGTGATATCCAATAGGCTTTTCTTGCTGGAACTTAGATTTATATTTTTTTATTAATCTGTACTATGTTATTGAATTATCCAGCTTCGTTCACTTCATTCATCTCAATACCAAAAAAGAAAACTAGCTTTTGACCACATTACACGGAAATCTTTTAAAATATCACTACTCTATTTAATTTTTAAAAAAAGTGTAAGTAGTCTTTTTTAATTTTAGACAAAACACAATTTATATATAACGTTTGCAAATGACCATGTGCATCAGCATTTGAGGTACAGAAGCAGAACAGTTTTGAGTGAATTAGTTTCATATTTCGTTTTATGACCCGTAATATGGTGCCCTAGAAAGATCGTTGTTCAATGCCAACTTGGACTAGAAGTAGACTAGTTTGTAAAATCGCAGAGTCATGAATGAACACATCATAGATTGCATGAAACACTGGTGGCGTTTAAAGAGATGGTTTTAATGAAGTGTTCTTTCTAACTCAACTAATCATAAATAAATAAATAAATAAATATCTGTCAATGTTACGCATAAATTGTGTCCGTCTGCTTGTGTGGATGTTATTAGGAAAACTTAAACAAGTTTTGTCTAAAAGCTTGGCAACCTGTAAGATCGTGAAAGATGAAATTGATTTGACGTGCGATACACTCGTTATGTAATATTTTAAATACATTGGACTTGATACATTAAGAAGACTAGAGCGTTTTTATGTCTGGCAATCGCAAAACAATTTATATGACTAGCTTGTTCACAAAATTGCAATAAAGTAAGTCCTTAATTCAAGCAACCTATTATTCAGAAGAGTCGGTGTTTCTTTGTTTTGGCAATCTTAAGAACACGAGGAATTAAAGAAATAAAACCCTTAATGGTGATGAATGATTAGATAAAATCAGATCAAATATTTTTTTTTGGCATGCAGGCTAAAGAGGAATAATCTTTTTTTTTTTTCAAAGTATTGAGGGTTTCGGTGTCCACACGCCCGCGCAGGAAACACGACACATTTCGAAGGCTGAATCTTTGGACGCCGGAACTAAAATATATCGGAGGACATAATGGCTTAGACTTGACAAGTGATGATATCTTCGGACACAACTCCCTAAAACCTCAATAGGTTCGTCTTTGCACTCAGTGAATACCAAGATACGCGCAGTACGTGTAGCCAGGAAATCACGCTCATTTTGTAAAACTCGCGGTAACACTGGAATGAAGTTCGGTGTATAAAGATAGATGTATACAGCAGGTCACAACGAGGATCTCCTCCACGCTCATCTCCAGCAACAGGCACATGCATGTTATGCTTCTCACAATCACCCCAAGAGTGTCTGAGGCGATGAACGGCATTCGTTGAAAGCAATGTCTCCTCATACGGTCGTTTGCACAAAAACTCACGCACCAGTTGATATCGTCTTCTCCAGCAGGTCGCTGTTGCGCCGCTTAGAGAGGAAGCCAACGCACTGCGGACATTGCTCGTAGTTGCCGCGAAGGGTGTTTAGTGGCATTCTGTCATGGGGCTTATGAGAACCCTTGCGACTTACTTTACAATATACGAGAGCCCACGAGACTTAGTTTACAGTACGAGAAGAAGGCGGATTCTTAATATCTTTGATGCCACTGTGAGGTTTCGGTCAGTCCTGGACAGGTGACAGCAGCTACACCAAGAGGACGTCCTGGTACCAGTGATGGACGGTGTCTGCTTCCGTGTCTTCAGCACAGGGATGCCACTCACGTGAATCGAGGCACTTAAACACATTTCCACAAAGGAACAATGGGCGCAGCTGTGGTACCTAGAGGATACAGTCCGGCGTGCTGCGCTCCCTGAGGGTAATGATGGGAGCCGATCGGTAGCCGTTCGCACCTGTTCTAGAGTCCTTCTTGAGTTCCCGCAAGAGGCTCTTCTTGCATTCCTGGAACAAGCTGAGACAGCTGTTGTAGTTCTGCTGAACCGCGGGCCTCTTGCGGCTTCGAGACGCCTGTCCTTCCACTTCGGGGTCGGACTCGCTTCCTAGGAGGAGGCTGACGTCGTGGTAGCAACGGCAGCACTCGCCGTCGACGCCGCGACAGTTGTGGCAGGGTTCTTCCAGGTAGCCGTGACGTCGTTCACGGCAGGACCCGTTGCGACGGCCGCGGACGTTGTCACGGCCTATGGGCTGGAGCAGCGGGAACAAAGGCTCAGGGTCGGCGAGCGTCGGAACTTGGAGTCTGGAAGTGGAACGATGCGACGACGAAGAAACCGGAGTTTGGGGCGAGTTGTGTTGATCCGAGCCACACTGGTCGTTCGCAAGGACGCCTGGGTCCGGGAGAGGAATTTGCTCGGGAGTATTTTCTTTGCCCAGAAGCCAGAATGTCCGCATGTCCCCCTTTCCCTAGAATAAGACAATAATTTTGCGATGTTAATCGTTCATAAAGTAGTGTACTGGCAGGTTTTGTTTAGATAATTTGATAAACATTCCTTTTTTTTTTGTTTTTGTTTTTTTTTTGCCGTTAAGTGTGTATTAGAACTTTCTGAGGGTGTTTCACACGACACGATGTGACACGACATTCGTTGTACCCGGGGCGGCAGTCTGGCGTAATTTTGCTGATATAACATGCACTATAGAAGAACATGGACCCCGCATTTAGAGCCATGTGCACATTCAAATGTACACTGTAGAACCTAAGGATGATTCCTGTGTTTGATACGGGGCCTTGCTCCTTGCGAACTCGACAAGCATCGTAGAGGAGTGTGATCGTGGAATGACCACCACATAGCGTAGATTCAAAAACCGAAGTCAGCAGGCACAGTGCACTGGCTAAATTGCTCACTCATAGCGTGTACCAGAGTCGTGACACCTGGAAGGGAGACCAACGTCTCGCTGCCTAGACGTTCGATAACTAATTTGTCAATACTATTAAAACTGGCTCGGTGCGCTCTTCATAGCATGCTCGCGCCACAACATACTGTCATTCTTGCGTGAGCTTCAGAAGATTCAAGTGTCAGAGGACTACAATCATACCTTTATAGGCGTAAGTCCCCTTTCACATAGTCTGTAGCCTCCAAGTTTTTCCAGGATATTTTTGCAGGCTTCACTCACGTGGATCTTGAGGGCTAAAAGAAAGCAGAAAAAACCTCGTAAAGTAGCAATTTTGTAAGAACTTACCTTGTTAGTATTGGATAGGATTAATGCGTTGCTTGCTATTAATGTTAAAACTACGGGAAAGTGCAAAAAAAAAAAAAAGAAGAGAAATATATGTTAGCTCCGTTTTTTTTTTTTTTTTTTTTGGCAGTATAAGCCTGTCTATTCAGCAGGTCTTTTAGACCACAAGACGCGTCCATTCAGAAACATGATCTTGATTATAGATCTGGAGACGAATAAACTTCATGTCTTAAAAGTTTTAACACACATTTTTATGCCAGCTCGCCGGTGAAATGATCATACTTTTATATTTATTTTGCATATGATTGTGTCAAAGTAGCCACACTGTAAGCATCGAGGTGTCGACAACACTGCCGGTTAAACTGAGCTTGTGTGCGTAGTTGGTTAGGAGCCAATATGACTTTCTAAATTGCGGTATTAAACCATTACTAGCGATTTCGTTCCTCACAAGACAACCTCAAACGGCAGTCAAAATGTGAAAATTTCGCGACGAGCACTTTTCCTGTAAACACTATAAATACTGCCCACTTTGTTTTTATTTCTCCAAATTCTCACCCTCTTTCAGTATTGGTCTTCCGATACTATATTCCAACAACATATTCTAGATAGCAATTCCACGGTGCTAGATATACTACGTCACCCACTGAAGGCCATGCTGAGGCACCGATTGGAAGCGACAGTTGCGTCAGTGTTCCGCTGGGGCACCTGATCAATCAGCCAGATCCAACGGTACTAGAGTAGCTCACTTGTGAAACTACTGCAAATGGGGGTACCCCCCCCCCCCCCCCCCCTCACTGCCTTCAGTTCGCCTACTATCCTTTGATGCGCCATCTAGATTTTCGTTTCGAAACTGTATGTTCCGTAGAGTGCGGTGAAACGCCATCTACCCGCTGCCCTTCAAAACATGTATTCCATAGAATGCACTGTAGTTAACATGGCAGCCATCCCCGAAACGGTGGCGCGTCGAACGACGGGAGGCGAGACGTGGATTGAGAGGTGGGGTACTGCTACTGGGATCATCGTCTATGGGTAGTAGTTCTCTCACTGGGCTGATCTAGTAACGTTGGTCAGAACGCGAGTTCCTGCCTTAATGCTAACGCTGCACGCATGTTTAATCGTTGCCCTGTTGGTGATTTGCAGAAGACTCAGAAAATCCAACACTACGCCTCTTCTAAAATTTGTTGCGAGCAATCGTTGCTCGGACATCGGGGAAATTGTGCTGACGTTGGGTTTGGGTGAGAAAAAGATGGGCAAGGGGCTTGCGTTTTTTTTTTTTCATCTTATGACCGAGCTCCCTTCTTTTTCTTCTTGAACTTTCCTCTTTCGCTACTTCGATACTTCCGTAATATGAGAAAAGTGCAGACCAGAAGCAAAGTGGAGCGAACGCTTTTAGAGCGCAGTTCTTAGGCATCCGTTTCCTCCGGCTTGAGCGGCGTCGCCGTCGGCGTAACCACGCGGTGCATTATGGGACGCGTGGCGTCACTGATGACGTCACTGATGACGTCATCAGTGACGATGGCAATGACGATGCCGATTACACCATCAGTGACGATGACGATGACGATGACGTCATGGTCACGTGACGCTACGGGGGTCACGTGACCCCCGAAAGGACATGTGACCCTCGTTCAGAGCCGTATATGGGGAGAGTTTGGTCAGTCTATGATCTCGCCGCCGTAACGCTCTCCTCCCGAGTGAGCCAATCAGCACGCGGCGCAGAGCGAGAGGCATGAGCGCATGCGCGTGAACTCATGGCTGCTCCCACCTGAGTGGGGAGGGCCGCCATCTTCGATCATTCTCCCGGCGGAATGCGTGGGATCGGCATCTAAATCTCGATTATTGCCTTTTCTATTGCTGGCTCTGGCAAGAAAACAACATTCTGTTATTCCTCGGTGGGTTAAAAAGCTAATAAATGAAGATTTTTTGGCGTATGGCCACACACTTTTATTCAGGCGAAAAAGAAGTCGGCCTGTAGCAGACGACGCGTAGCCTCAGCAGTGCTCTTCTCCGAACAGTCTCCAACAGCGTTGCTAAAAAATGGCGGTCGTCTCCTCTCTGCTCCATTCTTTCTCTCTCGCTCCTTCGGCGCTCTCCTCCTTTTCGTTAATTTTCTCCTCTCCGGCGCCTTCGTCACCACACCCACTGGCCAAACTCTCCCAATATACGGCTCTGCCCTCGTTAGGCGACGGCGACGCCACTCGGAGGGAGGAGTAGCAGGGAGGATGAGGAGAAGAGCAGGAGGGAGGAGGTGTATACCCTCCTCTCAGTACCCTTCCCTCCTCCTCCTCAAGAGCTGCGCTCTGATTCGGCGTTACATGGAGTTGTAAACGGTTTTCATTTTTTTTAAACAAATTATAAACGGAATAGAGTGGGTGTTCAACAAATTTCCCCGTCGACACGACAAGCGACAAACGAGCATGCACGTGGAGAGAAACTAAGTGCTGCTAGAAAATCAAAACCTGACAACTAAATATTTGTTTACGCATGCGAGCAAAGCTGAACGAATTTCAGTCTATTGGCGGACAGCTATAAATAGGACGCGTTATATAACAAATGCGTGAATAGGATAAGGTCGTTACAACAAATTCCGATATCGGAAACTGAACTGAATTTAGAGTAACCTTTTAATGAACAATATGTGGAAACTTTTAGAAAACTGCTGACAAATATAAGTGCCTGAGACGGGGCCTAACTGCTCCAGAAACATGCGAAACGTAACTAACCAGTATAGTCACCCTATGGCGATAAAGCCAGTGAGTGTCCGTCAATAAAACTATTTAAGACTCCATAACCATGTTGTAAAGATGAAAAAAAAAAACAAGGAAGATTTGGGCGCAGCATATACCTGCACGAAAACGAAAGTGTAAAACTTTGTAAAGTGTCTTTTCTGCATGGGTAAACAAGCTAAATGCAGACTACTGCACACTCGGCGCTGCAACTAAAATTCCCACAATTGCAGTTTAATTTCGACCGGCGTGCATTCATATGGTTACCACGGTGTGATTCACATTAAAGAGTTCGGTTAGCATTCAAATTCCAGTACCCAAACTGTGTCTGACGGCAGACGTATCAGACGCTTTTATGAAATGTGCAATTATTGTTATCCAAAACGTTTGTTCGAAAAACTATGACTTCGATACAATAAACTTATTCTTTATTTGGGTTTGATGAAGACAATGAAAGTCCAGAAACCTTGTATCTCCTGCTGTTTTGGTTCTTCAAAGTAGTTATTTTGTTATAAAAATACACTACTCTTTAACGTTCCTCAAATGTGTCGTTTTTCTGAATAACAAGAAAATCAAACACCGATTTATCGAAAATGTCTAAAATTGTTTTTGTTGCCTTTTAATGTGTGAGAGGGGAATAAACGTGTTTTTGAAAGTGAATGGAAGATTTACCCAGCTGCTGCGGTGTAGTCGCATGCTAAGAAATCACCGAGACTTGGGTTAATAAAATGACAAAAAATATAAATTATTTGTGTCATGCTGTCGTATTTAATAAATATTTTATTTCTTACCTTCGCCGGTCGATTCCATGCGGGAGGCGGTGTTGACAGTGTCTCCAAAGAGGCAAAACCGAGGCATCTTGAGCCCCACCACCCCGGCGACGCATGGACCTGGGAACAACACATTTCATAATCAGTGTGGAGCACGCGCAACGAGACACCATAATGACGTTGGTGAAAACTTACATGGGTCAGATGGCAATGGTTCTCGATCTTTTTACTAAATTCCCGATTACCAAAAGGCGTATTTTGCGTCTGTGTGTGTGTGTGTGTGTGTTTACACGTGATTCACGAGCTAGCATCTGAAGCATTTCTTTTTTTAAAGCAAACATTTACAAATTGTAGTTCGCGCCTGTATTTGTCATCACCTTATTTCAGTTTTCATAACTTTGAATCTTTCACAGTGACAAAGGAAACGTCCTCAGCGCGTGTAATTGCACTCCCGGTATGATCCTTCGTGCTTATACGTAATTTTGAATATAGAAAATGTATCTATAAAGCGTTCTCAAGAAAATGGCCGTGAGCGCGAGCTCATGTGAGATTAAGAAATTGTAGAGACATCTACACCTCCCGATAACGGTATGCAGGGGTGTCTGGCATATCTGGAGAGGACATTTGCTACGGTGTTGAGCACTCTAATTTTTTGTAGTATTTAAGGCGTGCTACAATGGACCAAGTGTTAGCTGCCATCGTTATAAGAAAAATAACAAAATGACAACCGGCCGGCGACGCTTAGGGGCTGAGTTAACATGGAAGCGACCAAAAATTATGGAATCTAGATTTGACGAAAATGGTTGGTCAGAAGAGAAAGAGAGAAGAGGAATGGGTGTGCCTGATTGGTCCCTTCTCGACCCGACCGCGATACGGTCGGATTTATATAACCTTTACCAAAATGAATGGTGTGCGGTGAGGTTGCTATAATCTGGCTTCACAGCAGTGGTTATTCCCTTCTGAATCGGCGCAATTGACGGAAGTGATGGGGGACCCCTTCTAAAGGGAGGGAAAGAGGGGATTGGACGATTACAATGACAAAAGGGCAAATGAAAGAAGCCAAATGCGTGCAAAATAACTTTGAAGTTTTGAAACAGAGCCCTACTCACTCAGTGCACATAGTTTGGTCGGTAGGACTTAATGAGACAACCAGCATCAATAAATGCAAGTTTTAGTAATTTTTTTCACTGGCGGTCTAAGGCTTCGGGGACCTCAAGAAGGCTTTCCATACCCCCTAAAGGTTCGTAAATCTCTATTTGAGAACCAAAAATCTAAGGCATGACAGCTTACCCTCATTATTGATATTTTGGTGAGCTCCTGTATCCTATAGAACAAATAGCAGATTATGGAGCAAGATAAGATAATCGAAATGGAAGCATAAAGTACTCATAAAGGGTTCTAGGAGGGGAGGTGCAACAACATGGGAGTGAGGCACGGAAGTTACCCTGGCTCTAACAAACTACAGTCAACCGTGTGCAGGAGTTCAGTATGCATAGGGTGACCAGACGTCCCGTTTTGGCCGGGACAGTCCCGTTTTTGAGGTCCACTTCTGCCGTCCCGTCTTTTTGTCCCAATAGAGAATCATGTCCCGTTTTCGCAGGAGTATATAGTTTCGAAATTGGCACTAAGCAAGTTGAAGCAATTCGAAACAATGCCTATTCGTTACAAGTATATTTTACAAAAATAACCGTATAGGTATACTTTAAGGTATTTTCCCAGGGAGTAAAATTTAGAATTGTTCTTGCCTACAAACACAATGTCTCTCGCGAAGACACGTCTATAGAAATCTCTCTCTCTCCCTCTCTTTCTCTCTCTCTATATATATGTGTATATTAGGGGTGTGCGAAAAGTGGTTCGAATCGAATAGCGCAGCGTAATTCCCAGCATCGACAGTGTAAAGAGAACCGGTAGGTCTCGGTTTCCCCTACCGCTGCGAAAGCTATACTAAATGACGCAGCGCTATTCAATTCGAACCAATCTTCGCACACCCCTAATATATATATATATATATATTAGGGGTGTGCGAATATATATATATATATATATAGTTACTGGCAGGGATGGGCAAAATACATGCAAATATGTATCGAAATACAAATACTAAATACTTCGTCAAAAATGTATTTAATTACAAATCTAATTACATTTCCAAAAAAGTATTTAAATACAAGATACAAATACAACCAAATGTATTTGGTCTCCTCCAAATACTTTTCCAAATACATTCCTCAAAATTTGCGTCAGCGACTTCAGGGCACCTGCCACGGGTTTCTGGGTATCTCATTTTAATTTTGCATCACACACTCGGGAGTTAGTGTGCGAGGCTCTAGTAACGTAATAGAAGTATAATCACAAAAAAATGTAATCAGCTTGGACGTAATAGGTGAAAAAAGTACAGAGCTTCAAGGAGCTTTTTTTTGTCGATTACATTTTGGTATAGACCAACAAAGCACCGAGACGACCAAGACGCGCAGCACTAGCTAGAGAATTTTTTATTGTTGCAACTCGCACCAGTTACGAAAATCTGGACGACCCGCGCATTTAGAATGTTCCAGGCAAAAATATGGAGGGAATTCAGGCTCGAAAGCATCACGAGTTGTTACAGGCACTTATTTAGCCAGTCTGCCTGTGAACGTCGATTTCGTCACTATTCTTGCCCTGGACTAGCACCGTAATCACAAAGTCACTAGACGCTTGTGCTTGATTGAGGGGCACTGCATTCGGTGCAGAACGTAGTTTTCTTCCTGCTCTGGACAGAGACAATTAATTTGAGGGATGTATTTTCGCCCACAAAATTGTATTTAATTACAATTGTTTTTGAAATACCTACGTTTTAGTATTTAAATTCACACGTCAAATACATTACCCAATTTGTAATTAAATACAAATGCAAAATATACAAAGTTTTTGAAATACGTATTTCAAATACTTGTATTTGAAATACTGCCCATCCCTGGTTACTGGATATAGCACAGATATAGAATCATGTAGAATTTCATTATAATTCCCCCCCCCCCCCCCCCCCACCCCGATTTTCTGCTGGGATGTCCCGTTTTCTCCCTTGAAAAATATGGTCACCCTAAGTATGCAACATGGTTTCACATAAGCAAAGTACACTTTTAAGGCGGTTTATAAAGGTATCTCTTTACAACACCTGAATTTCCCGCGAGATAGCAGCGCTTGATGTACCTTAATAACGTGGCTTATCAAAGTAATTGGGGGTACACTCTTAACGTTACTAAATGAGGTTTTCTTGAAACTATAACCGGGTGGTAATAAAGATACCTTCACATGAAGCTGCAAAAGTAGGTAGGAAACGTATAGCCGGAATTTCCCTAAACCGTCGCATCGCCCGACAGCTCCACTAAAAATCTACGCTTTAGAGTAACGACGCTTCCATCCCGCGTGTTGAAATCAACGCTTTGCCATTCTTTAGGAAAAGTTACATTAGCCCGCGACAGAGCAAGAAGGTATCGCCTTAGCTTCATATGACACCGTATCTAAAGATCCGCAAATCGCATTTTAGAGTCGTAACTTTGTACGAAGCACGGAAATGGCGAGGCCAACATGATCACCGGGAATTAGAGTGCTGACACTCTTAGCGAAGATCATTTAGTCGCCAAAGTCTGGACAATTACAAGATTACTTATTGAATGCTCCTCATGTGGGGGTCATATTGAGCCGAAAGACCACCATCGACTCCTCACCCGAATGTATGCCGATGCGGAGCTTGAGCCTTTCCCCGGTGCGGTGGCGAATTTCGAAGTTCTGGATGGCCGTGAGCAGGTGCAGGGCCAGGGAAGCGATCTCCCCGGCGTGGCGGTCCCCGTTGCGCAGGGGCAGTCCGCTCACCACCATGTAGGCGTCGCCGATGGTCTCCACCTTGTACACGTCGTAGTGGCCGATGATGGAGTCGAAGCACGTGTACAGGTCGTTCAGCAGGTCCACCACCTGTCAAGACGTTCCAACGGGTCACGTTTCTCACTACTCAAACCAGCACACACGCACCATAAACACACACACAAACAAGCACACACAGACACTCACAATCTCATCTTGTAAACCCTGAGATGGGGAACGATAAAAAGTGAAAGCCGCTTACAACTCCCTGTAACGCCGAATTGGAGCGCAGCTCTTGAGGAGGAGGAGGGAAGGGCGCTGGGGGGGGGTTAGACTAACCAGGGGGGTCACGTGACCTTGGGGGGTCACGTGACCCCCAATGCCGATGATGTCATCACTGACGTCACTGATGACGTCATTAGTGACGTCACTGATGACTTCACCAGTGATGATGACGATGACGATGCGAATGTCGGTGACGTCATCAGTGACGTCGCTGACGACGTCATCAGTGATGATGACGATGACGATGCGGATGCCGGTGACGACATCAGTGACGTCACTGATGACGTCATCAGTGAAGATGACGATGACGATGCGGATGTCGGTAACGTCACCGGCATCCACATCGTCATCGTCATCATCACTGATGACGTCACCGGCATCCACATCGTCATCGTCATCATCACTGATGACGTCACCGGCATCCACATCGTCCTCGTCATCATCACTGATGACGTCACCGGCATCCGCATCGTCATCGTCATCACTGATGATGACGTCATCAGTGATGATGACGATGACGATGTGGATGCCGGTGACGTCATCAGTGTCGATGACGTCATCGGGGGGTCACGCGACATCGGCGGGGGTCACGTGACCTCGGGGGGTCACGTGACCTCAGGGGAGTCACGTGACCTCGAGGAGGGGGTCACGTGACCTCAGGGGAGTCACGTGACCTCGGGGGGTCACGTGACCTCGGGGGGGTCACGTGCCTCCCCACGAAGTCACGTGACCCCGGTGGGGGGCTCGCGTGGTGCATTATGGGATATTTCCCATGATGCACCGCGCGGTTACGCCGACGGCGACGGCGACGGCGACGCCGACGCTGCTCAAGCCGGAAACGGGCCCCTAAGAGCTGCGCTCTAAAAAAAAGAACGGACGAACAGATCGTTCCCCATCTCAGGGTTTGCAAGATGTCGATTGATTACCAGCTCGCCTGCACTCTCTCACTGCTCACAACCTCCAGCGTCTGTTATCCCGAAAAGCAGTTAGGAGAGCCGGTCGCTGCAAACTCGGAAAGAACTCGGCAAATGACAAAACTTATAATATGTTCAAACATAAAAAAAAAAGTCTGGCGGAACCAACTACTTATACGAAGAAAGCAAAACACAAACAGGGGACAAAGAGAAACATGTAGGAAAGCTTGCACATGTCTGTCTCTGTGCCCTGTTTGTGTTTCGATTTCTTCGTATTGAGTATTAATCGAACACGCTCGTCGAACCCATCCTTAACCCAATAAGGAGTATTCACTGGGCGCCATATTTGTGGGTGCTGTCTAGAGCGCATACTCAGAACGAGCCCCCATTAATAGGCTGCTAAGACCGGCCATTTTGACGGTGTGGAAAGCACGTTGCAAAAGAACCCCGGAAGCTAGCCATCCCCACGCGCTCAGCAGTCGCGCACACAGCTATGGCCGCCAGTGAATACTTCTTATATGTTGCTGTCTAATTAAGCGATTAGTTGCAGACAAAATTGAAAAAGCCGCGGCCAGTCCCGTATCAGATTTCCCGCTGAACTTAGCAGGTAAGCTGAATTTGTGTAAAGTTAACGTGAAATAAAGTCATCTGACTCCATTTTCCCCGCTGAATTTGGCGGGGAAACGGGATTAGTGTTCAGATCATGTGACATCAAGTTTTTCGCTAAATTTAGTGGGCAAATTGAATTTGTGTGTAGGTCACGTGCCATCAAGTCATGTGACGCAATTTTCGCGCCAAATTTAGCGGGAAGACAAACGGCTACGAACATACCTCAAAAGTGGCCTGCGGATTCGAAGAAAGCCTAATCGCTCTATTAATCGCTTTAAAAAGCTTTCTGCACTGTGGCACAGATAATGACTTTCGCCGTGTCCAGTGCCACAGTGTACATCGTTGTTCGGGGTCCAAACAAATTTCCAGACAGTCCTTCGCCTTGCGCCATCCGGGGATTGCAGCCATTGGCTCTCGCAATTGTTTTACGGGAGACCGGACGCTACAGATTTCTTTGAATGCGCGGTTTCTTGGATGTGGGCTTGTGTTAGTCAAAGCAAGAACCACGGTGGAAGAGAGGTGTATGAACGGCACCGCGTCGCCAGGGGCGAAGGTTGACTTGCATTTCGGACAAATGCCGTGAGATGGCGCAACGCGTCTGGGGCAATAGAAAGCCGATAAGAGACACTCGATGAACTGCTCTTATTCGCGCGCGACCGCGCCTGCGCGAAAGCCCATAAATCCACAGTGCCCCTGCCGGGAGATACGCGAAGCCCGAGCAAAACTTTTGCCACCTGGGCAGCAGCTTTGTTCAGACACGTCTCCGCCTCTTCTTGCACCGTGATAAGGACACTACGAAACACTGCCTGTGCTCTGCCTTTTGCAAGTATCGATCAGCAACACGCATGATGAAGCACGTTTTGTAGGAGGAAATTTCCCCGTCTTGTTAATTTTCTTGTTATTCTAGTCTGCATGCTCTTCCCGAAAATCCAGCACAGTCACGATATAGCTGGCGGAGAAAAGACAATCACAAAAACCCCAATGTGCGTAATTTATCCACGTTCTTTACTTCAAAATAGACGTAAGTTTCTTTATCAATATAAACCAAGTTTTAACAAAATAGATTTGTGTTCTATAATAAAATATACTATGCAGTCAATGAGGGAAATCATCGATAGTCGTTAATTTGGCAGCGAGCAAGCCGCAAGGAGCAGTCGATATTTCTCGGTGAATTGTCCCCCAAAGTGGAAGAATGAGAAGGTCACATCGTGGACACCAGTAGTTGTGCGACGTGTATTCTTCAAATGGAGTAGAAGTCTTCCCGCATGCCATCTCAGGGCCGCTACAGGCCTAACTGTGTGTGGTTCCTTTTAAGTGTAGGTTCAAGCCAACGTTACTAGAACCATTCATTTGAGAAACTGCCATAAAGCCTGCTCTAAAAAATTGGTGCCGATTCTTATTCCAGTAGCGAGCTAATGGCGATCGCAACACTGCCATTTCTTCCGCAGCGGCCATTCCGTGAACTGCACGGCTGCAGTTACTGGTCCCGGCTAGTCACGGAAGGGCCGGTGGCGCCATCTCACAGGGCCATCTTGCAGTAGTTATATAAAGCAACTTTCATGTTTCAACTCGTCGCTAAAGGGTGGCGCTGTTATCGTATTTAGCTCGGTCTCGGTGGATTTCAGCGGCCCCGGTTTCTTGGGCGAGTTTCCCAATTGAGTGTTTTAGTAACGCTGGTTCAAGCTGTGCATAAAAAGTGCTTATAAATGCCTGTGAACCTTTAGGAAAAATATGATATTACGGTTAAATGAATTTAAAGGGGCACTCTGGAGATTTTTTGAGGTATTGCAACCAACTATATGTTCTGAATTCTCGGCGTTTATCATTTCCGGTATGCCATTTAGTTTCGCGAAATTCATACTAGTTATTGTGAAATGGACATATCAAAATGTTGCACAAAGCAACATCCAGATATTCCCTCACTTTTCAGTGCCGTGACGTTAGTGGAAGGCAAGCTTGCCAGTCCAGCAAGCAGTCTAAAAAAATTGACTATGCCAAGCATTTGTTCCATGCAGGTGCGCGGGTTCTGGAGTGAGCTTCCAAAGCATTCATTTGACACATTGAAATTGCTTGAGATCATTTGTGAACAAAAATTACAGTCCAAAGAGTGAGCTCATTCCTCTCACTAGCGCCACTTTTTTCGTTGTTGCCAGTAAAGACTTTTTAAAAAACACGATCAGGACCAAAATTATAAATTTAATAACTTCGCAAAAAAATTATTTTGACCTGATATTTTGGGACACTGTTTCAGTGATGTTAGTTTGTGTGTTTAGCACATGTTCAGGCAAATCTGGGACTATAAAGAAATCGCCAGAGTACCCCCTTAAATGTTGGTAAACAAACGCAATCGTGAGGATGTTCTTACTGGCCTCGATTCAACGTCATCATCACCAACCGCAATAAGGAGGTAATGATTTTCTCCATCGAAAGCAGACTGAACAACCAAAGGTGTGAAATTTACGAAATAAATAAACAGTCCAGAACACGGACAGCACATCCCCACGAAAGTTGTGCTGTCGCTTTTTCCTCTGGGTTTAATTCTTTCATTCATTTTTACACCTGTACCAACGCCCTCACTTCGAAAAAAATGTTAAATTCGTCGTCTCTCCGGAAGCAATATTAAACGAGCAATGGCAAGCAACAAACGACAGGCCCACCTTTCTTATGCATGACGGCGATAAGCCGCTATCACGTTTAAAAACAATATAGCAGCAGAATTACTGCGTTACGATCGAATGTTTTAGGATTGCACGTCACGCGTCATCTCCACGACACAATTCCATACATTTTATTTACATAACTCAGCAATTTTTATCTTTTTGTTGTAAATTTATTTTTTATGACCGTTGCAAACTATAGTATACCTGTTAAGAAACGCAACGAGCGGCTTATTATGAGCACGATTCTTGATTCGTAATTCGTACTTTAATGTTCTCATTGGCTGATGATGCCAAAATCGTATTGGTTGAAGACCAATAATAAGATTGTCTGTACTTGTCCCGCCCTGCGTTATTTAGGTTGCGAGCGAATCTGCGTGCGGAATGTAATCTTAGTACTTTCACAGTGAGGATGAATTATCTCTTCATTACATTGCGAATTTACCTGTAAGGGTGACGAAACGGCGGACAGTGCTGTGAAACCAACGATGTCGCTGAAGTAGATGGTGACGCTGTCGAAACTTTCTGCTTCGACTTGTTCGCCTCGCTTGAGCTGCTCAGCCACAGACCTGCGCGATGAAAGGGTGACGAATACAGAGTGGTTAAGTTATCGGTGCCTCCGAAATCCACGCTGGTAATATCAAACTGCAACCCTTAAAGAGGAAGCGTACAAACAGAATGGTAAGTACTGCTAAAAGAAGGAAGTAAAAGTGTAATAAAATGTGACCAATTAAAAGCATTATCTATCGCAAAAGTAACAACAAGCAACGTGTATCAGCGTGACATTCGCACGCCGTCATCGTGCATGCTGGTTGGTCATTCCTACTTGTTGTTGCCGAGAAAAGCAAACACCGTGCTTCGAAATGTATACTGCGTAAGATACAGTCTTTGTCAAAAGTCCAGAACACACGACGCCCGTGTTCGGAGTGGATTCGCTCCCACAGTGCTGCTATTGTCGGTGCTTGCTCACTGCGAGGGTATTTTCGAAGCAGTCACAGTCAGCAACCGACTTTTTTTTTCTTTGAAAACGGTGGTGCAGAAGCGCGAAAAAAAGCTAGCGCCCTCATCTAGGACAGAACCAAAGTGACCTCAAGTCCTCTTAAGGCTTACATCGTACTAGGCTGCTGCGCAAGCAAGAACTGCGTCGTGAGTGGCCTTGTTTCTCATAATACTAGATCATTGCGTGGTCAAAGACTGCAAAAATTAATAATACGAAAAAAAGAGAGCCGTTTCTTTTTTTTTTTAGGTTTCGGTTGGACAAGCATGTCTTTCATGAAGAAGGAAGCTTGAATAGCCGCCGTGAAGAGAAGAAAGCCAGAGTTGGCTCACCGCGGCAGCCGAGAGAGCAACCCGAATCTGCAACGCGCATTTGATCATGGGCACTTCGAGTTCGTCAGCGTCCGAGAAGTCTTTCAGGCGTCGCTACACTCTAAGAAATGCCTGCGCGTCTACTTACCCGCAGAACTCTCGAAGAGTCAGTCTCTGCAATCTAGGAAATCAGCTCAGCGAATAATGAGGCGGTACATCTGTTTAGACCTCAAAATGAAGTCTGCGCTGAGGCATTACGCAATGCAAGCATGACGCTTTTCATTGCGTAATGCCACAGCGCATACTTCATTTTAAGGTCTAAACGAATGTTCCGCCTCATCATTCGCTGAGCTGATTTCGTATATCGCAGAGATTGGCTCTTGGAGTGTTTTGCGGGTAAGTAGACGAGCAGGCATTTCTTAGAGTGTAAGCCTCGTTCTGCATCCTCCTCGTACCCAAAACTTTGACGTTTTTGGCAGTATACGGCAGGTGGCGCGCTGGGATCTGCAAATCGTCAATTGCCGACGAGAGCAGCGCAGCCGCATGGGTAGGGTGCCTGGAATGCGTCTTCGACTCGTCTGTTTAGCAAGGTTAGGCATCGTAGTAAGCCTATGCATCGAAGGTAATCCCAAGTGGCAACAAGCGACATCACAAAAGGCGCTGTGTCATCCTGTCAGACGTCGCGATTCTGGCGGTTGCGAGTAGGAGTTCTGCAATCGGTTGCGCTATCGTCATGGTGTTCCAACTTCTGACTGAAGTTTCAGTGGACTATTATTATGAAGAGTGACTGCAGCAAAAGAGGCGCCTGCCACACGCACCACCGCTGTTGTTTACGCCAGAAAAATCGCGGCTGACGACAGGTTGACATTTTTATGACGTCATCAAACAAAAATCAGAGGATTGTTTTTTTTTTTTTTTTTGGATGCGATAAGTAAATTAGATGGAGACGCGTTTCAGGCGTCGTGGTAAAGGAGCACACCCGCTCCGAGCAGTCGCGTCGTGGGCTCTAGACTTTTGACGAAGACTGTACACTCTCAGCAGGGAGCCATGAACAATTTCCACTATTCTGACGTATACAATGTAAGGAGGATGCAGTTGCTCTTACTTGGGAAGCATCCGCAACAGGAGGTTCTCGGTCTTCTTCTTTTCCTCCATGAGTTGCATCGTTCTTTCTTGAACGAGGCTTTCGAGGTTGTACGCGTATTTTTCCATCATCGCTATCATGTTGTCAAATATATTGGGCTTCCTGCAACAAACAGAATGTACGTGCTTCGATATATTAAGTAAAAGAAGACATGTTCAGTCATATTATTTATGATTATAAGGCTGACGTTTAATAAAACTTCAAAGGTACAGTGCACCATTCGAGAAAAGCACGAAAGAACAGCAAGTTATTAATTAACCAATATGGCGCTAAATAAGTAGAGTATTAAACTAAAGCACGCCTCTACTCCTCTATCCTTCTCCCACTTTTTTGTTGTAACTCATTAATTCAATCTATTCATAATCTCCCAAAGCAGACAGGGCTATGAGCGGTAAACTAAACTGTTTTACCGAAATTATTGAGAGTACACCAAACTACACCGTTAGTGCTTTTACGAGTTCTACTTGAACCTTGAACAGGATATCGGCGGGCAGCAAATTCTTCCGCTTAGGTTAGTGCCCCGAACGAGCACCTCCCACCACACGAGTTTTGATGAGATTCCAACAAAAGAAACCGAAAAACTGGCGATGGCTTGTTTCCGCTAACAGTGTAGCTCTACGTACCTTGAAGAGCTATTTCAGTGACGACAGAGTTCTGTTAGTTTTCTCAACTACGCGGTCGGTCCCACAAGTGACGACAGCACCGAATTCTTTCCGTTTTGGCGCAAACTTCCATGCATGGTGGAGAATATGCTGTACTCCGTTTTACTGTAGGGTGAAACACGTGCAGCACTTCAAACCATTTAAACCAATCTAATAATATGTGAGTGTCAGCTGACCGTCGACCTTCGACCTGCGACGCGAAGGGAGCGTACAGTCACGTGACATGTTCGCAGCGGTGGATTGGTTGGGATCGGCTCGTAGCGCCTGCTGCTCTCTGTCATAATGTGAGAAAGAGTATTGTAGAGGAGATCCAACGACGTCGTTTCTAGCGGCTAGTGTGAAAACTAAACCCGTGGGAACGACGGAAACAAATTATTTCTTCGTATTCCTGGCGCAGCGCTTGACCGAAGTTGCCGAACCTTGCATCAACGTTCGGTAGGGGATCGCGTTAAATCCGTCAAGCGGAAATTGAAGACGCTACGTCGAGAAAGGCGACGTCAAAAATCTTGTCCACGGGCGTTGTGTTCAGTGCACACCACGCTGTGTGAAAAACGCAACGTGGTGCTATCCATGCCAATAGTTTGTTTTTTTCCGTGTTGCGGGCGCAGAGTTGCGAAGCGTGCTCACAGCCCGGCCTGCATCTGCCTGAGCTTGACGTTGACGAAGCGGAAGTCGGGCCGGTTGTCCGGGTTCTCGTCCCAGCAGTCCTGCATGCAGCGCAGCACGTAGTCGGCACACACCAGCTGCTGGACGGGCGGACGGAACGGGGGCCTTTCGTCCCTCACCCGCACACGCTCCACGATATCTGCGCATGCGCGAGGCAAAGAGCAAAAACCGTTGTTTTGTGGAACTCGCACGCACACACAAAAGCAGCGACACTTTTTTTTTTTTTCATGAGTCTAAAAGCGCCGATGAATATACATTATGCTAAACTCTTACAAGGATAAGCGCGAAGATCGAAAAGAATTATGAGAACTTCCTATGGGCTTCTCTTTTAACTCACATACTCTATCACACGACACTGGCGAGAGGGAGACAGAACGAGAGCAACAGAGAGAGAGAGGGGGACTAACTAACACCATCTATACTTCGGTTTATTATATGTTCGATCCGAGTCGATAGCACGAACGCGTATTACATTGAACACACATCCTAAAAGCAGAAGTCTCTGGGTCTTTCCTGCACATGATTAGTTTAGCAATGATCGAATGTACAAAAAACACGATGAACACCATGACGTTGCGCTTTCGTCAAACAAGTATTCCAACCCGATATCGTTTCATGACTCCTTTAAGGTGGAGCAATATAGTGGTGGTTAAGGTGGCACAGGTTCTCGTCTGCCCTTGTCCGCTCACCTGCGGACCCTCCGCCCCTTAAGTTCGCATCTGTCGTCTGCTACAATCGGTTTTAAACAGCTACAGACTGGCACTCCTTTCGGCGCCGTGGACGCCGCCACATGTTTTTCATGACGTCTCTTTCTGATCGCGTTTCCTGGGATCATGGAACTGGAAAAGAGCACGCAAATGACGTACAGAGCATAAAATACAGTACCGTTTGTAGCGTTGCAACAGTACTTACAATCATATTAAAATGGTAAGAACAGGTTGATTGTAGCAATTGAAAACAATTTTACTTATTAAAAAAAAAGTATCGGGGCGTAACCAGAACTACAACTAGATATCCTGATGAAATGTCGTTACATTGCTTATCAAAACTGTACGACCGCTACAGATTCATAGTTACGATTTTGCGGGCTCGGGACTTTGCCACACCCTACATTTAGGTCCTCTCCGTTCGTCCAGTCTCCTCTAGGGCATGTCTTCGTTCACCCCACCCTGCTACACATTACTTACATTTGGTGGGGAGGTCCGAAGAGCCCCACGGCCCCGCCCTCCCGATGATCTCGAAAAGGATGATGCCGAAGGAGTACACATCTCCCTTCTGGGTTCCGCGCGCAGGCGGGTTCATCAGCCGCAGCAGTTCCGGTGCACGCCATAGCAGGCCTGTCGTCGAAGAATGTCCAATTAGCAGCGTCTCTTAGAAAAAGCTATAAAAAGTGTATTCAAACAAGTTGAAGAATACGGAAACACTCTCCGCACGTCAGTGAACAGAGAAAGTTTAAAGCAGTAGTGTCATTTATTGAATTATTTAAAATACCCTCAGGGGCCATCGTCTGCAGCAAAGGGGTAATAAGAAAGTCGGGCCTTGCCCCACCCTGCGTATATTAAGCTGTGCTAATTTAACTCGCGTGTCACGAGAAAAAAACAAAACAAAAAGAAAACACGAGCTGCCGTTTTGATGTTTGTCTCGCAAAAAGTGGGGATCATGTAGAGTCCAAAGACCTTCGAGCACAATAGAGATTTGATCCTTCCTCTGTCAAATATTATGCGGGATTTTTTCTTAAATTTTAAGTCTGCCTGCTGGTTTTATTATTAATTTTTTTTTGAGTAACCCTGTACATTCTTGTAAGCTACTTTGCAATTTTTCGATCATTGTAGGAAAATTGTTTGTTGGAGAAAGCGCCCAAACACGACAAGAATTGAAAAAAAAAAAAAAAAAAACATGGAAAAGGTCAAAGGTTTATATCCGTATGTCGTAGTTCCTTATGCTTCTGGCAATTAGGCTAGCCTTCTAAATTTGGCGATATATGTTTTCACTGATGAGGATGATTTGGATAGAGCGTTACCGCCCCTAACCGAGGGTCTTCAATGTCCATCTCAAAGTAAAGACCTACACGGCCTCACTTTATAACTTCCAGTTATTCCAGAAAACTCGGCCGAAGCGCTAAGAAAAAACATCAATAAATTCAATCAAAGTATGTTTTTCAACAAGCCACGAAAATGCAAAATATGGTGAAGTGACAACGTGTACTAATTTCAAAAAAGAATAATAAAAAAATTGTTTTGTTTCATATATTTTTTAATATTTTAATCCGCTCACAAAAACGGACAACAACCTCAACTGAGTGTCCTCAAACATGCATATTTAATCAGTGTTTTTCATGATAATAAAGGATTTAATAAAGCAAAATAATTTATTCAACACGCAAGGACGTTTTTCTTTAAGCGTACATGTCCTGTTTGCAGATCGTCCGCTAAATAAAATTATTTTTTTCAAGTGTTGTTATCTAAAAAGAGCAAATGGGCCGAATGTAAATGGTATCGTTGAACCCTTGCTTTGAATGCTGTGCACGGGGGTTGGAAATTCACGCATGATTTATTCTCCACTCACTTGTATCATTATCCTCTGTTCTGTCTCCAACCAAGTGAACTCAAAAAAAAAAAAAAAAAAACCTTCTGCACCATAAAAAAAAATGGTGTTTTTTTTTTTACGTTGCACTCTCGTCCGTTTTTATATATAAACATTTCCTAAAAAATTGGCAAGTAAAAACAAGATACCCCTGATTACATTTCAGTGAAAGTGACCGGTGAAGTTCTTGTGTATAGCACTATAAATTGTTTACCTTGAATTGTTGTTTGAACAGAAAAATATTTGGTTAAACATGTTTAATTCGTTTTTTATTTGTATTAAAAACAATATTATTCAATATTACATCTGATAATTTCACATGAAGGAGATATTTGGCATTTTGTTTGGCCTAGACCCTATCGGGCTAACTTGGCACAAATTGTTTATAATTTACTCCAATAGCATAGTTCAAAATAAGGAACTGATATGTTTCATATGAATGTGCCAAAAGGTAGCTCAGAGTCTTTATGTCGGTTATAAAGGGTTCTGCGTTTTCTGATAAATCCGATAAACACTCGCCGGTAAAAATATTGCCGATTCGGATTTATCCAAAAACCTCCGAATTTCGGGGCGTCCAGTTGTTTCATTATCCGAAGAACTCAGGAAAACCCCGACAAGCCTTCTTATTTTGAAATATTACGAAAACTTTTTTCCGATTCTTTTGTTTCTCTACTTTTGTTTGTTTCAATGCTGTTTCTAAGCTTTACAAAGAATGCCTTTTGGCCTCTTTTTAGGAAACGATAGAGAATTCACCTGACAGTGAACCAAGGACAAACACGTCTTACCTTCCCCTCTAGTTCCACTTGGAATTTTCCACTCGTTATATATATTTTTTTCCCGAGACTTCGCCTTCTTTGGTGATCCTCTTTTTTTTTTTTTTGAAGATCGAACATTTGCGCACGTTTTCTTGAGATCCGTGCCGACGACAAAAATTCGAAAATAATTCAAATATTGTTTGTATATTTGCATTATGCGCAGGAAACGTACGCTTCCTGCGCAGGGAATTATCAGATACTGAAGTGACTGCCAGCAACGACATCATTATTTGCAAGTTTTGCCGCGTCCAAGTCAGCACGGCAAATGAAAAGGGTGCCCTCCGTATTGAAGATCACCTGAATTCAAATCAGAGCATCCAGCTAAAGAAACCGCGTATCGTGACATGGTGAGTGCATTTAGGTTAAGGTATTCATCTATAGACGCTTTACACACGCGCAAAGTTACAGCCGCCATTGCTGACCTTCTCTTGTCTTTCCCATATGCCAAGCCACTGGAACGAGCGTTGACAAGCCTCCACAGAGGCCAATGCTGTGGAGAAGGACGCAGTACAACCTAAAATAGCAATGACCTGCCCTGCTGTGGTTATGATGAAGTGAAGTAAATGTAATAAGATGAAGAAAAAACTGAAGGTCGGTTATGGCGGCACCCATGCACAGCTGCTGCAAAGCGTCTATATAATTCTCCGGACAAATTAATCGGGTATTGTGAGCAGCTGAGCTTTTAATGTTTTCATATAAAAAGGCTTTTTTGTTAAATTCGAAAAACGTAATTTTTTGCCTACATAATTCGCCTTACCAACCAAGGCTCTCTAAAGGAATGACAAAGAAAAGGAGTACCAGGGAGGACGCTAATGACACCTCACACATGTTCTGCCAAACACTTTGACAAGCAAGGTCACCACTCCATCAGACGGACTGGCCGCTTGGTAGCCTGTTCAGGGAGGAGTGCCCAGCTGCACGGACAATGCCGTCAAGTATTCAAATCTACCGAAAATTCCTACCAGAGGTCTGCGAGCGCCATCTCGAGGTGGTCAAAAAGCAATCAAGAACCGCCCGATATCTCTAAGCATTGACGAAACGCCAGAGGTCTGTGGCCGTCCAGCAGTGGTGCTAGTGACATTCTATGATGACGAGCTATCTGGCCGCCGGACCTTTATGGCAGACTTACAGATTCTACAACAGTGCAGTGCCGTGTCCATTCGGATGCTGGTACAAGAGGTTCTTCAAAACCTCGCCAGATCTCTAAGTGACGTCTTTGTGTGTTGTGTTCAGACTCTGCTTCCCACATGCAGAAACTCCACAGGGACATGCAGCAGTCACGCACAGATTTTCGTGCTCTGAATTTCAAAGATCCTTGCCATCTTCTCAAGAGCATCGTTGAGGGGGGGGGGGGGGGGGGGGAGTTCAAGGGCGCTTACGACTTCGTTGCTCATTTCCCTGTTTTTCTGAATAACTCAAGAAAACTTCGCGGTCAGTTTGGTTCCGTCTGCGCCGAAATGAGCATTGAGCTAAAGTGTTTATTGAGTCCCCATCTAGATGGTTTTCTTTTCACGAAGAACATGCTGATTTTCTTGACCACTGGCGCGCTATTCTGGCATTTGTGAAGAGGGACGGGGCAAATAGAAAAGAAATGTGAAAAGCTGGAAGCATTTGTAACGACATCTAGCTCTCTGAATGACCTGCTTATCAGACTCAAGTTCCTAAAAAAGACCTGGAACGAAGTGCTGTTCATAATCAAGCAACTAGAAGCTGAATTGACATTGGCGGATGAAGTGTATCCTCCACTTGCTGTGCGCCTTGAGGCACTGCTAAGTCAATAGACCAACGCCCCAGTGATGAGTTTTGTAGGGCAAGTAGACTGCATGCTCAACATGATTCACGAGGTAGAGCGCTCTCACACCGTTCACATGTTTCGCCAGCACTACAATGCTGTAGCCGAAATGTGGAGTCCGACTACATGTCCAAAGATATATTGAGGAGAGCCTGCAACATAACGACGTGAAAGTTCGGTATCGAGTGCAGATCGCTAACCCGAAAGTGAAAACAGAACTGCCTCGAACGTTCGAGACGTAAGAGTATTTGGTTACTCTCGTCGCGCCATACGGGCATGACCCGTATAGCCACTGTATTTCAATCTTTATTTCCCTTCCCTGTTTTATAACTTGTTCGTTGTTCTGCTGCCGTCTGTCTTGCCACTGTAGGGGGCCGGAGACTCGTCAAGCTGTTCCTTTGCAGCTTTTTTCTCCGGCCTCCCCTTCATCACTGATGAGAAATAAAACTTATTATTATTATTATTATTATTATTACTTTACCGAGTTAGAAACAGAGTTCTGCGCATATCAGGCCTACACTGTGAAGGAAACAGTTGAACCGCTAATGTTCTGGAAATGCATGCAGAAGTGTGGCCCATCCTCTCACACTGTGCGCTGTACGTACTGGAATTTCCCATATCCAGAAAAGTTTCTGGAAAGAACATTCTCCCTGTTTCGCGTTGTAAGTCGAAAGGAGTGAGGGAATGCAACGTTGGAAAATGTGCCTGCATTTACTACAAGTTGTAAGAAGTCACGAATCCCACTGCAAATGTTTAAAATATTGACCGCGTAATAAAAGTGTATCCGTAGTTGATTGTACTGTATTTCTGTACTTCAACATTACCTTTAATACAGATCAATATCACGCTAACATTCCGAAGAACTGAATTCGGTGTACGATAAAAAGTTAATAAACAAAAACTTCGTAAAACTCCGAATTTCATGTCCGAGAAATATAAACTCTGAACAACACACCCCGAATTCGTTCAAAAATGAACTCCGAAAATGCAGAACCCTACTTATAAACAATGCTCTCAAAGGTTACTTACTAATACTTTAATCTTCGAGAACCATCTGCAATTTTTCCTTATTTTGGCGGAACAGTCAATGTATAAGCACGAAATAAAATTCTCATTTGAGACTGGTCACAAAATGGGACTTGGTTTTCATGATAAAGCACAGAGGTGCGTGAGATTATTTTCCTCTTTGTAATAATGTTCAAACGTGCCCCAACCTGCATTGTTTGTTATGAGGTGTTCTAAACACGGATTTGTTTTCCTATCCCCAAATTGGTAAGGATAATAATAATAATAATATTATTATTATTATTAAAATTTTAGACTATGGAGTGAAACATTACCGAGTCGATTACAATATTAAGACTGCAAGAAAGCGAACAATATCTAGTAATTATTTAAAATTGCTATTGATATCTTGATATCTTGCGATATCCATGGCGGGATATGGCAAGTTAAAAGTTAACTTGCCATATTCTGCCATGATGCGTGACCTTTTGAGGCTGCTTAAGGTAAGACGCGCTTTTACCTCTGTAAGCGTTTTCCGAGACCTTCTGGGGGACGCAGGTCTGCGCAGCCCTGAACTCGTGCAGCCCGAAGTCGGCAATCTGCAGCACCCATCGCGAGTCCACCAGGCAGTTGGAAGAGCGGAGGTTCCCGTGAGACACGATCTCGCTGTCGTGAATGTAGATCATGCCCTGGGAAATTTTACATAAAAAGAAACATTTTAAAATCCAGATTGTACTCGAGCCAAATAAAACATTGGCGTCAATTTCGCATTCTTTGTTACAGAAACCAATTGTGTATAGAATTTGCTTGAATACGGAATATCTCAGCGTTTGTGAGCCCCCAAAGTTGATTTTGCTATTAAATCTACACTGTTCAAACTCAATATATAATAACAATTATGAACCGGATTTCATTTTTAATTTTTATTAGAGCACTAGAGAGGTTTTTATTAAACCTTTATACGAATGTCTTGATCACTGTTAAAGCGTAGTTCTTCAATAGTTGCACAGTACACAGTTTCCTAATATAGATATTACCCTCTGTACTTTCCCAAATCTTACTTCCCTTGACAAATCTCACTGCGCAAAGTCTTGCTGTTGAATGTTACTACGCTTAAGCTATTTTTCCAAAATTGGACTGGATCCTTGGTAATTGAATGATTCAAATGTTAAAAACAAACGTATCTGTTTTGGGAAGTGAACTTTTCAGGTAATTCAAGAAGTGAAAATCGTAGAATGAGTGCATAATGTTTGTGTATATTTTTGCATAGGTCTTGTCTCCATATGTTTTTTTTTATTTATGTGGTACTAAGATGGCCTTTTCTCTAACAGAATATTGTTCTGGACAAATTTCTTCTACAAGCCGTACTGCGTATTTATATACGATTGCATTACTTTCAGGTAACCATACCTTTATCAAGTCCGCCACCAGTGATGAAACGAACATGCTGTCCAAATCCAAGTCTTCATTCCGCAGAACATCCTGGGTAAAGTTACAGAAATAGGATGCAAAATGCAAATTCCTCTGAATACTTCAAGGAAATGGGTTTAAATGAAGCATATTCTAGCACGAGCTGATTTAAAAAAAAAAACAAAAAAAAAACTTGATAATGATATTACTGGGGAGTGGCAGTAAGGTTTAACTGAGAGGGTCAGCCAAAAAATCCAATACTGTACTCTACACCCAGAGTGGTTATTTCGCGAGTAACTCAATTTAAGGTAAGTTATCAAACTAAAACTTCTTGGAAGAGCTATATTAGACCAACTACTTTAAAAAAAAATCAGCCTTTCCACTCTTGTGAAGAAGGAAGACCAGCGGAGCTGTACTCGATGCACTGTGTGCTTCTGCTTCGTCGTCGTGTGTTTTTTGCGCTGTTTCCTACGATGAATTCCCACCAACGCGCCCAACTATCCATTCTTCTATTATAGCTGGAAAAGTTGGCGCCATCTACGAGCGACGGCGGAAACCATACTGGTTGTGTGCTTGCCGCCGTCGCTTATAGATGGCGGTAGCTGTCCAAATAGGTTTGTGTCGACATACACGGACACGATCCTGGGGAACCTAGCCCTTAAAGGGGTACTCCGCCGATTTCTTCATGGTCCCCGATTTGCTTGAAATTTTGCTAAACTCGCCAAACAACATCACTAAAATAGTATCCCAAATATTAGGTCAAAATAATTTTTTTTCACGAAGTTATTGAATTTACAATTTTGGTCCTCACCGTGTTTTTCAAACTGAAAGTCTCTACTGGCAACAATGAAAAAGTGACGTCATTGGAAGTGCAGGGGTTCACTCTTTGGACTGTAGAATTTGTTCCCAACTGATTTGAAGCAGTTTCATGGTGTCAAATGAATGCCTTGGAAGCTCGCTCCAGTCCCCGCGCTCCAGCACGGAACAAATAATTGGCATATTCTATTTTTTAGACTGCTCGCCCGACTGGCAAGCTGAACTTCCACTGACGTCACGGCCCTGAAAAGGGCGGGTATATTTGAATGTCTGTTTTTGCATCATTTTCATTTGCCGATTTCGCAATAACTTTTATGAATTTCACGATATTAAATAGCATTCCAGAAAGGGTAAAGGCCTGGGAGTCAGAAAATATAGTTAGTTGAGGTAGCTCAAAAATCGGCGGAGTACCCCTTTAAAGGAGCCATGAAACGAATTTTGTGTTGGGATGAATGATTTTAAATTGGGACTTTACTAATCGCATATCGTTCGGCTGGCCAAAAGAAAGAGGCTAGGAAGTCAAAAGCCAGCTTTTCGGTATGAACATTTGAAAATATAGCGGACTATTTTGTACCTTCTTGCCTTCAAAAGCTCTCCGCCTTTTCACTATGATACATCCGCGGTTGCGAAAGCGCGTCACCGGCGCCAAACTGACGTCAGCAGAGTCCAGCTTACGCATTGGACACGAGAACTGCGTCACTTGGACGTATGCGCTCGTCAACAATCAATCCGTCGACGAATATTTGGATTCGCGTTCGTGGCCAATGAGTGCCCTGACGGAACTTACTGTCACTGGGGAATGACAAGTTCTATGGTGTGCATAAAAAGCACGGTGGAAGCTACGAGTCATCGCACCGGTGCCGAAGGAATGTCACGACCACGTATTTCACAATTCGCATTTGAGTTGAGGATTAAAGCTAAGGAGGAAGAAGTAGGAAAATCGTTTCATGACCCCTTTAAGAGCTCCGCTGTGAAAAATGTTGAAGACCAGGGCGGATTTTTGTTAACAATTCTCTTTGCGAATTTCGAGCGGTCCAAAAGCGCTCCATGCTAGCGCTTTTGGAGCGATAAATGCGAGTGCGTTCTTCCAGGTGCCAAAGGATACCAACAAAAAAGCGCTTCAAAACCACTCGAAATTCTCCAAGCAAGGTTCCCCTATTTGTTATAACTAGAAAAAAAAAAAAAAAGCCTCTAGAGCATGAGGCGTGCGAGTACTTAAGACTCAACTTCACGTGCCCTTCCCTCGTGCGCTGTAACTTTGGTAGCGTTTTCTTTCTCACTGATAGGATTATGCTTTAGCAAGCCGTCCCTGTTGCATGTATAAGATTAGGAGGTTGCACCCTTGACCTTAGCAACAAACCAGCTATTAATATACGCTTTATATCACAAGGTTAATTAACATAATTTGCATATGCTTATAAAACAAAAATTGAGGGTGCGGCAATATTTTGTATACCTTCGTGTTGCAGCTTTTTCGCGTGTTCAATCGCAATTGACAAGAAAAAAAAACACATAAAAGCGACGTCTTAGAGCAAGGGTTCAAAATTATATCTTCACGCTAGCGTGCAACGAACCTCAAGGCTTCCCCTTGCGCTGAAGACGGTCAAAATGCAAATGTTGGGAGGATCGACACAGGCTCCGATGAAAGGAGTGATGTTCTCGTGCCGCATCTCCCGCACCTGCGACATAACCGGATTAACGAACTCTTGGGTTACGCCGCGATGCCCTTCGTTACTGCTATTCGGCGTTTTTTTTCCTTCGCTGTGTTTCCCATGATGTACATTCGTGTTAGCCCTATGTATTACATTGACTTAAAAAGAAAACATAAAGTGGGCAGATCAGATGTTTTTCTATTACAAGAATTCTCAAGACCACTGAGAGCTCAAGAAATGTGGTGCGTACAGCCGCCGGCAATGTGACGGTGAACACCTTACCTGGTTTCTTGCCTGTTTTACGGCTCCCGAAAACTATATTAACTCTCCACGTTTCAAATGGTACGTGGCTTGGGGGTCTAAACTTTGCGTTCTAGCCCTCTTCTGTAACAGAGCTTGTTCCAGAACTTGAAGGAGCGTCAAAAACAAGAAGAGGGCTGTTCACCTTCATATCGCTCACGGGTGTACCTTATTATATTGATATGCCTCTCAACTCATGATTTGTTCTTGGGAGTTCTTATTTGAAAATGCAGCAATTTTATTGTCAGAGGAGTTATCATAGGGTGCTCGAAACTGACTACGCTTTATGCTTCTTTAAGCTGTCACTGAATAATACCTATGTTGGCTTAAATAATACCTATATTGGCTTAACAAAGTGGCCAGGTTCCATGTATCGTATTATGAGGATTGCTTTAGTCAATAAAAATCTTAAGGAACACACACAGGTCGTGGTTTATTATGTTCATGCCGCCTGATTCGTGATTCGCTTTTCAAAATTCTTAACAGCGAATGCTCCAATTTCGTTTGTTGAGTGAAAATAAGAAACTAGAGACCCGCCAGTCCTGCGTTCGTTAAGCTGCGAATAGCGAAATGGTGCCACGAAGGCGTTTCCGACCAGTGTATTTCCGGCGTCAAAAAAAAAAAAAAAAAGTAATCCATTGATAACCTCCCCCCCCCCCCCCCCCCCCCTTAGTCTCGGGGTTTTGGCCAAAATGTTGATGCATTGATTTGTGTTTGCTTTACAGTAAAAAGCAGTATGAACTGGAGTATGGAACAGACAATCTAATTGGATTTCTTGCTGCAAACCTGACATCCAGTTTTCAGAAAATGGTCGGCAAACTGGATTTCAGTTAAGCAACCGGAAAGAATAAACACAAATTCGGGACGCAAACAGACGATACAACTCTTTCAACTCACAACGACATTTATTTCGTCTCCGTTCAAACAACGGCCATCGAGCAGGTTCTGGGGAGGGAGCAGAGAGGGAAAAGGGGGGGGGGGTGAAAAAAGGAGGAGGGGAAGAAACGGGTTATTCGCGGCCTTCCCTCAAGGTCTCTGGTCCCCTCCGCCCAGTTCGGGACGGAGGAATTTCATCTCCCGCTCGGAAAGGGCCAGAGAGGCCGAGGCGACGTTAGTTACCGATCTCTTGATGGCGTACGATTCGGCGACTTCCCTGCCAAACCTCTGCCGGTGTCCTCCCAATACGCGCGTACCTTCGTATCTGGGCGAACAACCGTCGCACGTCATGCGGTGTACAACTATTGGGTGCATGGAGTCGTCGGGGGGTTCGTTCACCTCCCGCGAGTGTTCCCTCAGGCGGTCATTTAGGCACCTCCCGGTCTGCCCTATATACTCCCCGCCACACGAAAAAGGGATGGTATAAACCACCTCCTTCCTGCACTTAACAAACTGCTGTCCGTGCTTCTTGTTGCATTGAGTCGCGGAGGGCGGGGTATTCACCAATCTGCACATTTGTTGAAGCTTTTGCTTGCAGGTTTCCAGCAAAGAAATCCAGTTAGATTTTTGGTTCCATAATCCAGTTTATATTGTTTTTGTTTTCGGTAGGGTGATGACGTCATATAAGTGTCGTGTTGTCGTCGGTCGCGATCCTGGCGGTGTTGGAGCAGCGGTGGTGGATATGGCAGACGCCTGCTGTGCAGAAGGTCGCCCTCCAGGGGCCCTAAGCTGGATGCTTGGCGAAAATGACGGCGAGAAATCTGGCGGCCGCGGTTGGCCAACGCCACACTTGACCTTGGCGCCTGCCAATCATAGCCGCCAAATTTCTCGCTAACTTTTCCGCCAAGTGTCTAGATTAAGGCCCCAGATTGACATTTACGGAGTATTCGGCAGTCGCGTGTTGGGACGCCGACAGCAGGACACTCCAGATTTTTTTGTGACGTCACTTATTGGTGCCGGTTTGGGAGTACTTATGCCCGAGTCCCACTAGAGCGACAAAGAGAACCAACCGACAGCGACAAGTCTCAAACCAGATTTTTTCGCGATTGGGCAGGCTTCGTAGAATAAAGAAGGCTATGCTCAAACACGTGCATCATGCACGCGAGGGTATCTTTGGCAGGCTTGCAATCACTCGTGCTTACTTCACGAGCACCGAAGGACTAAACGTCTGCCGAAGGTACCATCGCGAGCAGGCAGCATGTGTTGCATTCTTGTCCGTGTTGGTTATTTTTGTTTGTCGCTCTAGTGGGACTCGGGCATTACGATGCACGGACGGAAGAGAACGACAAACACACCCGTCGGAGACGCGTTTGAGGCACCGTAATGGAGAGTTTTAGATTAGCGTACGCAAAAGCCTTGAATACGAAAAGTCGTGGAGTCGTCACCAGTGCGTCTGCGCCGAGCCCAAACCATGTTTTGGATTGCCGTAAGGAGACGACGTTATTTCGCTGTGTACGCAAAGCGTTTGCGTACGCTGTTCTTAAACTCTTAAACTGGCTGTAAAGAAGCTAAGGTCTCAAGTACAATAAAGAAGTGCGAATTATGCGAAAACAAGCTCGTGTCTACCTCAATGAGCTCCTTGCGGATGCTTCGTGTCAGGTCGATGCTCTTCTTGAAAATGGGTTTTATGAAAACCACGTTGCCCTTGTAGAACCCGACCCGTGGTCGTGCCCTGCCGGCTGAGTTTGCTCCGGTGTCGTGGTCCTGGACCGACGAGGAACCCTTGTGGTGTGGACCGTGTAGCCTCCGGTCAAACTTCCGCAGCTGGTGCTCGTCGGGGAAGGCGAATCCAAGGCGCGTCACGTCGAAGCCCTGGTACTGTAACGCGCACATTTCTGAATTTATGGTGAAACACTCATTTGAATGGCTCTGGTAAACATAAAGTAAGTTCTTACTTCTTGATATGCTTAGACACGTGGAAGCTATTTGCACTAATGTTTGCTTGATGTTTTCGGCGTAGATAAGACATTTGGCCAATACGGCGCCACTGCTAGCCTATGGTCTTTAACATGCATAACGCAATAGTAATACACAACAGCATGGCGGTATAATGCTCATCAGGATCGAAACTGGCCAGGGTGGGGATTGAGCCCGGTATTGCTGGCTTCTGTAGCGCCAGCGTTCGCTTCACGTGCTCCAAGATGTTGTGCGTATATACACTCAGCCACCGTCCTCTCCGTCCAGCTGAATGTTTGACGCTGATTAAAATGACTAAAGCGTCTTCACTGGTACCTAATGAAATTATTGATATTAAATGAAGTTTGCTCATCAAGAATCAACACCACGAATTGTACGGCGTGTCCACGCTTCGAAGCACCGACTCGCGGAAGTTTCGTATGTGTAGAATGCTTTCTGTATTCACTGTCAGGGTAAGAACGGGAGAATGGACTTCCAGTTGTCCCGCCTCCAGTGCGCGATTCCTACATTCGATTGCGTGTCGCGAGTTTGAGCGGGCACAGGCAGCTAAAGCACGTAAAAAGGCAGCGTGTGGGTGTGCGACTGAGCATTCGAAAGAGATGCATTGTTGTTATTTTACTGTAAGCGACTTAATTAATCTTCTTGAATAACGGCTACCCACTGGGATGCAGCTACACAATATTTGGACCGACATTTCGTGACTCAGTGACAGTATTTGTTCTCGTGGTAATTAAAGTGCCGCGTGCAACAAGGGTACGAATTGACATCACCCTTTCTTATGCTTTTGTTCCTAGAGATGAAGATTGTAATTGCGCCACTTCTTCTTTTTGCTGTTGACACATATTAGATGTTAATTCCCGTCAAGCGGAATAGAAATACAAGTCTTGACCAGCACAGGAGAAACAAGTAGGTACCCACTTTGTGAGCTGCACATTTAAACCTGTACTTCCCGTACACCTACATTCCCAACATTCTCGTGTAGAAATTCAGGTAAATATCTTATGCTACACACTTCCAGTCTTCTTGCCCTGACTTAAATTTATATACAGCCGACAACCGTATATGTACAAGTCACAGTCTTCACACAAGCGCAAGCGTGTCGACGCCTGACGGCACTCCGCGTGATATAACCTGCATTTTACGAAGTATGTTCAAGGCAGCTTGTGCACGGCTGCAGCATGATCCAAAGCGCGTTTTCGTATCAATCAAACTCTATGCTGTCATAAAAAAAGAAGAAAAAAAATAAACACTGCAAGCATCAATAAGTATGAACGATTGATTTTTATCGACGTTTAAACGATTTGCTCTGTATCAACGTCTTACACTCGGTTAATATATTTTTTTCTTCTTCCGTCTCAATGCATCACGATTCTAGAGGAGCGTAAACAACTTCAAAGGTCAAAGGCCTTCTTTTATGTCTTTTTTCTTTTGGATACGTAAACAGGCACTGACACGAACTTCAACAATTTATTGCTTCCCGTTTTTTTTGTTTTTTCTTATATGTTAAACACTATATATACTACGCTCCGTCTCGATTTAAGTCCCACTGCCACCCACTCTACTATCCGCTAGAGCCGATCGCACAACACCAAAAGTGCATTATCGCGGTGTTTTTTACACTTCAAAAAAAAAAAATTAGCGGGTATCTGCTATGCAATATAAACAGGTCATGCTTGTTTAAAAGAAAAAAGGCGTGAAAGGCGATACTTATTCGGTTTTTGCAGGTGAGTTATACGGCCAAGGAGGCTAATCGTAACGATCAGTTTGCTATTTAACCAAAATTTGTTAACTAACTTTTTAAGTAGTGAAAATAAACGTATATGGTTCCAATCGGAAACCTGCTGAGCGTCATCAAGTACCACTAAATCGGTAATTTTCAGACTATGAGCGCGTGCGAAGGGAAGCAGTTCGCTAAAGTAACTACTCGAGCAGCGGCAGCGAGGCTACCGGTGCGACAACGAGACCGCGCGATTTTTCCGTCTCTTATCAGCGCCTCAGCCTTGTACCTGTTGTACGAGGGGCCCCTTAAGTGCACTACTACGCTTCCCACGCACTCAAAATATTTCTAAGAAATGACTGATTCAGTGGTTTTAGACGGCGCTCAGCTAGATTCTAATTGGAGCCATGTGACTACTTTCACTAATAAAACGTTGATTAACATATTTTACTTATTTAGCCGACTCATCGTTATGGTTACTCCCCTACACTACGTCCCCTTGGCCGTATAAATCACCTGCCCGAACCGCACAAGTGTAGCTTTCACGGCTTTTTTAAAGCAAATCTGTTAAGCTTAAATGAATAAAAAAAAAAAAAAAAAAAACATGTACTTTTTTTTGTTGTTGTCTTCAGCTACAGCTAAAGACGCACATTCTTTGAGTATAGATCTCTAGCGTCTCTCAATGGCGCAGTGTCAACATGTCGGACACGTAAGACGTTACAATTTACTGCGGTGCTATCTCCACTGTGCGGTTCGTGATTTGGAATGTAGACTCACGTTTATCGTGTTCTTGATGTTCTGCAGGCTGTACTCTGAGTTTGTTCGCAGAGTGATGACGTCTTCCATGTCGACTTTCCAGAGCAGTCTTGCAAGCTTGTACTCGTAGTGGTAGTGCCTACGAGAAGCATTCGGATTAGAAGATATTAATGCGAGATGTCGGGCATTTTCCTTCAAAAGTAGGGGTGTGCGAATACTCGAATATACGAATTCGAATCGAATAGAAAGTTCCCGAATAATTCGATTCGCGAATCGAATTCCTAGTATTCGGTTACTCGAATATTCCATATATTCGGCCAAAGACGCACGGTGGGCGTGGAGCAAACAAGCAGTTTTTCTCCCGATGTAAGCGCCGTGATGTTAGACAGACCATGCGAGAAACACCTCTTGGTCCTACCATTCCACAAAAATCTAACGCACAGGTTAGAAAACAGAAAAGTAACGAACGCCACAAACTTTATAGCACGAAGATTTACTCACGATCATGACACAATCTACCCTTGAATCACAACTGAAACATCCCGCTTGCGCTGCTTCCAGAGAGGAATTGTTGGGAAGCCGGAATTCCGCGCCAAGCCTAATTCTTTTCACGAGTAAAACTCCTCGTTTCAAATTGAAGCGCCGATGTAAAACACACTTGCCGCACTCATAGAAATCGGCTACTGCACCACTGCACGATCACAGAAAGAAAACCAACGTTACCACGCCGGCGAAACCAACCGAGTTATCGCCGTCGTTCTTTTGGAACCGCAAATTCTGATTCCGAATCAGAACGACAACTCGGTTGGTTTCGCCGACGTGGTAACTTTGGCTTTCTTTCTGTGATCGTGCGGTGGTGCAGTAGCCGATTTCTGCGAGTGCGGCCCAAGTGTGTTTTACATCGGCGCTTCAATTTGAAACGAGGGGCTTCACTCGTGAAAAGAATTAGGCTTGGTTGGCGCGGAAGAAACGGAACGGAAAAATAGTGTGCCTAGATTTGAGAGGGTTTCCAACAGCTCGATAGCCGCGTTTGAATTACGAACTGCGAGAAGGTGCCGAAAAGACAAAAGCGTCGGTCGGGTTCGGGCAGGCAGGGCAGGCGTCGTCGCTCTTCTGTTTGTTCGCCTTCTTTCCACGCGACAGCACAACACATGCGTATTCACGATCAATCTGCGATGGAGCCGTCTCTGTGGTTTCAGTTTCGGTTGCTCCCTCTTATAAATCAAGGCTCTCTAAAACAGGATAGATAAACGGAAAAAATGGATGCGTAGCGGCAGTTGGACAGTGACTTGCGCCACCTAACCACGTTTTCTTTTCTTACTTTAGATTCTATTGTTTAAGCCAGCTTACCTCGTTGCTGTTTACTCAGATTTAACACTTGTCTATTTATTTATGTGAAATCAAATCCCAGGTGCCATTTTTTTTCCTTAAAATGGAGACCAACTATCGCAAAATGCCCCTTTTCTGAGATATACAAATATTAAAAAAAAAAAAAAAGTTGCGGTGTTAGGTTGCGTTTTTAAAGAGAAAAAAAGGCACGCGTGGCTGTAACTTTTTTTTTTTTTGTGACGTTTAGGGTAGATAGATTATGTTTGCACCATAAAATTGGATCTTTAGTGCCCAACGTTCAACAGCAACTGCTTTTATTTATTTATTTTTTTTCACCGGAACTTTTTTACATTTTGGCTTTTGTTTTGTACAAGACGTATATTCTGCACAGGCGCATACTCTGCACATATAATAATCGCATTCGCACCACACTTTGAAAAATTCCTACGAATAAAATCACTATTCGATATTCGATTCGATATTCGGGTTTTTTTTCTTGATTCGATTCGGTATTCGATTCGAAAGGTACTATTCGGTATTCACACACCCCTATTCAAAAGGTATATTTTTTGGGAGCCTAAAAAACAACGCACCGGGAAAAGTAAAAAAAAAAAAAGTAATATTTTTTACTAAATTTAAAGAAAAGGACCTACGTTAATTGCGGTGACTACAAAAATCATCACGTCTCGTTTTTAGAGCGAGAGAAGAAGAAACCAAGTTGGTTTCGAAACGTCAAATTTCCTTTCGAGAATTAGTTGGAGCTACGATTTTTGGACTTGGAATTCTCACCCAACCAGGCAGATTTCTGCCGAATATGTTTATATACAATTTATTGTTTGTTGTGTTTTGTATGGGTTATTTGCTGTAGCCAGGAAAGATCTCAAACACACCTGAATGCGAAAATTCCGAACACCAGAAAAACACAGGCGCATGTGACACAGATGACCAAGATCCTCCAATCTGAAAGAGCGCGAAAATTTGATGTCAGAGATTTCGATTATACCTTTTGGACGTACAAACGCACGCAAAAAAACAAAACAAAAGCTTTCAGCCTTTCCAGTCTGGTAAAAAAGGGAGACAAGCGAAGCTGTACAATGGAAAGTAATGGCCGGCCGGAAGTCGCCAAGCCAGAGCGGAAAGGCTGCCGCCATCTATGAGCGACAGCGGCAACCAGATACTTGGCATGCCGCCGTTGCTCATAGATGGCGGTAGGTGTCCAAGGTATGATGTCTTCATTCCTTTGCGGGGGACACGATACTGAAGAAACTAGCCCTTAACAGCTCCGCTGTAAAACATTGCAGCCAGTAGTGCTTAAATAAAAAAAAAATGAAAGTCCATAAAAAGGCTTTTCTCGAGTAATTATTTAAAGGGGCCCTGCAATCATATTTAAGCGTCTACCTTTTTTGCGGTTTCCACGTCTCTTGGGGTTCGGGCAAACCAGCGTGCACGGAGAGAGTAACTAAATATCAGTGCGTCATATTTTAACCGGACGACGCGGAAACCTCCTCCACCGACGAGGGCGACCCGCGGTACCGAAAGCGCGTAAAATGTGACGTCTTTGGTCCTGTGCTTGCCACTGGTCAAAGCCGCTAAAAGCTTTTTTTTTAGTCGAGATACAAAATATAAGTGTCGCGAAGCGTTCCAATTATGTATGAAAGTAGTTTTTGCTCACTATTTTAGATCAGAAAAGAAACAAATGCAGTTTAGAAAGTACGGAAACAAGAAATGACCCGTCGACATACCCGCCACCAAGCGGCGGAAAAAACGGCGCATACTAGAAAGAACTAGTGGGATAAGGCTACGACGAACGAGGAGCGTAGAAAGGTCCCGGATGTACGCGGCAGCGCTGCGGTCGTATACCGGCTCGAGAATCCGACCGGTTCCCAGCGTTCCGAAGGTCTTCGGCGCGGGCACTGCTGGCGATTTGGCGATTTGTCGGTGCGTCAGCGCGAAGTGGCTCCCGTTCTGAGCTGACCTTTACCCCGTGTTTGCTGTTGTTTGTGGCCAATGAAGTGTTACGCCGAATTAGTGTTTAGTCGCGCAGCAAATGCAATGCGAGCTGCCCTCGCCGCCCGCTTCATACAGCCTATCCAACACGTGCTTTAGTGGCGCCCTCTCGAGCCGTCGACACGGAGTGCGGCAGCCGTGAGCGCTCGATGAGCTCACTACTCCTCCTCTAGTTCACGGCCACTCAAGCCAGGACCTACGACGTCATCAAGGAGGTTATTTCTGCTTGTTTTTGTAATTCTAATTTGCGTATAACTTTTAAAATAAAGCGAAATTTGAGAAAATAATATTTTGATTAAGTTACGGCGTTCAGTACGCTCAGGTTCAGTGCAAATTAAAAACCAGTCAAAAAGTCATTGCAGGGCCCCTTTAAATAGCATCACAACAATGGAAATAAAATATTTCACCCCGGAGTATGATGTATTGGGAAGAGATTAATCTGCAACAGATGAATTAACTCTTAATCTTTTTACATCTAATTTTCCAAAATCTCCCTAACTGCGACGTCTTTGACGTAAATGTAACAGTTAATTGTGCATGACTTATCAGGCATTTTTTATTGGTAAAGTTGAACAGATATACGCATAAATAATAAAGGAAAATTTATTTTCTTTTTTTACATACTAAAGTGAAGTAACATGCAGATAATACAATGAAATATTCACATGTCGTTCGTCAGCCATAAGAGCGAGAACATATAACGCCAAGGGACAAAAACGGACGTATGCGAATGATGTATATTGAACAAATGTTGTAACGAGCACAAGATATATAAAAATACATTCACGTAGGTTCTTGACTCCCAAATATGTGCGTTTTTGTTCTTTTTTCTCATATTGGGAATTTGGCGTACATCTTGTAAGGATCACCTGAATTATTTTTGAAAATGATTCAAAAGTAATTACAAGGCCCCTAAAGCGCATTTAAAATCTTTATATTACGACTTCACAAGCCCATCATTGGCTACTGCTAGATATAAAACAATTTAGATGTTTCTAAGGTACACTATGTGTTTTGGAAAATAACTGGTTGGTTTATCTCAAGGCCGGAAAAAATTAAATTCTGCATCGGCCTTTCTATAACGTTTATTTTTTTCTAGTCTCGACTTGTTTTCACTTTCAGTCATCCGCGTGTGTCAATGTTTAAAAAAGTTAGCGCGAATGTCGTCGCATCATGTCAAACCGCTTTAAACGTTTTTCTTGCCAAAGCCCAAGCATATACTGCAGACACATAGTCTGACCCACAGAGCTCATGTTAAATCTCTCTTAAATCATACATAAGTTTCTAAAAACTATCTCGGTGCGATCTTAGATCACTTTCATTCGCTATATTATTTGCAGTAAAAAATGCACAATCTAGACAGTGATTATAAATTGTGAAACATTTTTTAAAGCAAACACTAGTCTACTAGCCATCCAAATTTGTTTTTATTTTTCTTTCTCTAAGTTATCCTTTTTTACGGCCTCTACGGATGCTGGTTCGTCCCACTAAACATGAAAGTTTGCCCGCTTCTGCTTTTTTTTTTTAGTTCGACGACAGCTGCGAACGCAGTGATAAGTAACGCATAGTGTTCCAACAATCAGTCGCACGAGGTGTTGCTGGTTTCTGCACTCCCAATTAGGTCGTTTCATATTCCCCAGATAGCACAGTTCTTTTGGCTAAAATTTGGTTTTGGTATGGGAATTTAGTGTCTGACACCCCAGTCAGACGGGCGCGTTAAAGACCTTCATAACAAACTCTCTTAAAAAGTCGCCGAGTTATCTCGAGATCTTGCGCTTTTCGGCGTGCGCTGGTTCACTGAAGGCCTTCAACGTGCCCGCTTGACTAGGGTTTTCAAAAGTCGGAAGATGCCGAGGTAGAGCCAAACTGGACCTTATTCGGCCAGAGTCTTGGTATACTGGCTCAACTTCGCCAAACAATTGCGTTCCAAAATTAGGCCTTACTGCTGGTAGTTAGGCTGTCATCTGGCATTTTCGAGTCTAAATGACCAAAAACAAGTGCTAGATGTAGGCATCACTTCTGGTCGTTTGGTTGTGGTAGATTTTGGATCTAAATTTCTAAACAAGTGCCAAATATAGGCTTAACTGCTTGTAATTTGGTTGATAGGCCATAGGCGTGCCATTTTGGGCAGAGATAAGCAACTGTGTACCGAGTCAAAGAAAAGCCATAGAAAGGCCGAAAAAAAAAAGTGCCGTGGCACTATCTAACGTTTTGGAGCAAAACCGTACTAGGCCCATAATAGACAGATAGGATCGCCAAGCTTGAACCCAAGTTAAGCGCTTTTCTGACGTGGTTTCTGGGTCCCGACTGGGGCACTGGAACCTCTACACTCCAGACGTATACATATGACAATGCTTAGCGGATTGATTTAAATTGAAGAACAAAGGCACCCTTAAGACCGGATTATTTTACATTGTTTCCAGCAAGCTTTCCTCCAGATGTCTATAGGTGTTTGAGGATAATCAAGCAATTATACCTATTTTTTCGCTACAGTAGCTGTGGTACAATTCTTACCTTGCTTGGAGACACATTTGTCTTTCTTGAATCCGCACTTGGGCTCGCTGACTGGAGGTCCCCCGCCCAGCCACGCAATGGGCCGCTCTGGCTTAAACTCCTGGATCATTAGAAGAGTGTTGTACGGATTTGACCAGAAGAAGTAGCAAGCGACGCCAAAACAGATTAATACTTACAAACGCATCCTACAACGGAACTCTTTTTTTAAGTCATAGTGCCAGAAAAGAAGAAAGAAATGTCGGGCTATCTTTTTGATGATATCGACAGCCTATACTTTGTTTGAGCCCCTGTAGTTTCAGCTTAAGTTCAGACGCACTCGATGCTTTGAGCGCGAGCATGTAACCCTGAACAGTGCTTGCTCTACACGAACGCGCAAGCTTGGCAGGGTCGCTGAAAGCCCAGAGCTCGCGCTTGTAGCATCGTCTGGGTCTGGACTTAATCTGAAACGAAGTATAGCAACCGCGGGTGGGACATTCAATAAATGGGGTGATTTTTCTCCACCATCTTGTGCTGTTTACGCTTATCAGACCATGACGAACCTAGATCAACGTAACGTGCTATGTCGTGTTATCGGGAAGTCCACTTGTTTTATATTCACGATGAGAAGCTCGCTAGGCGAGCTTCTGTTTTCAATCACTATGTGTAGTGCACGTGCTACCCACGCGGCTATGTTTTCATTTTCGTAATGCAGAGACGTTTGGCATTGCACGTGCTTTCACCAGCAGTGGAGGTCAAACCCTTACTCTGGATTGAGAAAAAATTACGCTCCGCGACGATAACCAAACTTCTTGCCGCGAAAACAGTGATTCTCAGCTTTAGGAAAGCATGGCATGGCAAAGTTCTAGAATCTTACTAGTGCTTCACAGGGAACGATATATTGTATTTAGTCGATAAGAGAGCCCAAAAGCAAATCTCAAAACAAAAACAAAAAACAAAAAAAAACGTGACAGGATAGGTTGCGCCTAGCGTGTTTTTACGTTGGCGGCGACCGTGCATGTACAGTTCAAGAAATCTGGAATAGCTAACTTTCCCACAAACCCCTTGGAAGGGCTAGGCGCTGCACTTACGCTTGGAAAATCGGTGAATTTCCTAAAAACAACACGTTGTAACACTGAACAGGACGTAAGCATGCTTACGCCGTGCTTACGTCATGTTAACGTCGTGCCTACATCATGTTTAGGTAGTGCTGAGTGTCACAGCGCGGAGCGTACCTGAATCCAAGCTAATTTTCAACTCCCTCATTCGTCGAGCTACTCCCCGTACATATTACAGTGCCAGGGTCACCTCATAGATGGCGCCAGCGTGCCAATGTTTGGTTTAGAGGGCCTAGATTGTAGAAGATCCGTCTCAAACCATGGGTACCGTTTGCAATTTAATGGCGGACGCTCACCCCGCGCCAATTGGTCGCAAGTGCGCACGGGCTGCGTATTCCTGTGGCGAGGAGGAAAGCATGCGGAAGGGCAGAGAAGCTCGCAGACGATCAACGCGTTCGGTAACCTCCTTGCAGCTCGTACTGAAAACGCGGTCCATAAACCACATGACACCGATCGAGAAGTTGGACACTCTCTGGAATACAGTCTTTCTAATGTCGTCTCGTCGTAAGAGATCACAAGAACTCGGTCGTAAGCAGACGGAAGTGCGTGAAGGGGGCCTCTAGAGCGTAGCGGAGCAGAAGCTAAGCCCTTCGGCCAACGTTACTAGAACCCTCAGTTGGAAAACCACCGTTGAAACCTGGGCCGCTGGCGTCCACCGAGACCGAGCTAAATACGAAAACAGCGCCACCCTTTAGCGTCGCGTTGAAACATGAAAGTTGCTTTCCATAGCTACTGCGTGATGGCCCTGCGAGATGGCGCCACCGGCCCTTGCCCGACTCGACGTGCAGTCGTGCAGTTCCCGGAGTGGACGCTGCGGAAAAAACGGCGTTGTGATCGCCATTAGCTCGGTTCTCGAATACGGATTGGGACCACTTTTTTAAAGCAGGCTCTATGGCAGTTTCCCAACTAGGTAATTCTAGTGACGTTGCTTTCGGCCAATGTTTTTCCGTATAAATGGCACCGGACGTTCGTTTAGGGCGCATGACCTACGGGCAGTGAGCTCGTGTTCTCAGCCAAGGTGAAGCGTCCCACTGGCGTGAGCTGCTCGTCGTCCGGCTTAGAGAAGGCCAGCACCGTGTAGTTCCCTTCGGCATCCCCGTTCTCGTCCACCCGGATGTCGAAGCCCAGTGCACCTGCGACGGAAGCAAGCAGCGTTCGAATATGCGACACGTTACAAGGAAACGCCACTGGTAACGCGTTCGGTTATTCAGTAACATACAAACGTACTCATGACTCCCTGTCACCTTCCCCTTCCCCCTTCCCCCCCCCAGTGTAGAGTAGTCTGCTAGAGGCTAGAGCCATGCTCTCAGGCTAACCACTCTGCCTTTAAAGAATCCCCTCTCTCTGTCTTTCTCTCCACCAAAGCACTTGATATAATTTTAAATGACTAACGAGTAAAGTGATTATGGTAAAAGAATATGGTATTGTCTATTAAATTACGTTACCCTTTACTTTTTACTTTCTATGAAGTTTAGACATATTTCCGAGTCTTTTAAAAGTCTAACGCGCCATCGGGACCTCTTTGTATTCTATAGTTGGGCAGCATAGAAAAATATATTATGAAATCGTTCTTGAACGTTTAATTGCTGTCGAAGCTCGTAATCACGTCTTATCGTTTCCAAATAATGCAAATATATTTAAAAAAAGAAACGTAAACGCAACGTTTGTTAGATTTCTGGAGATAGCAGCATTACGGTATTTGGTTACATTTGCACGGCGGTAGATAATATCGGTAACTTGTAATTTTTGAAGCACTAACGAGCAACGATATTTCGTTACTTGTTTTTGGTAAGGGGCACAACACTGGAAGAAATCTATACGTGACGCGTGAGTTGGTATCACCTTATTTATAGCAGGCTACGTCGTCAATCGCACCATGATGAAACATAATCTCAAAGGATGCTCCGAAATGAAAATGAATTTTTTTAAATCGAAAACTTGAGCGGTGGAGTTTGTTTTTAATACACGAAGAGAAATTACGTATTTATGGCGCTACCTTGCGTGACGGCACATTATTATGAAAGTGATTCCTTGATTTTTTGTTATTATAGACATGTTCACAATGTATATAAATGTAAAGAAAATTGTTTCGCTAGGTCTAACTATAAAACAATATAAAGTTTAGAAAATATTCAGCAGTCAAATCAGGTATTTGTTTAAAGAATGGTCAACTCTATGAATGGAAGCTTGCAATGTTTTTTCAATTAGTGCCTATGTTTTTCTTTTCTTGCCCTGATTTAATCACATATCAAACCACAACGACAGATCGTTTGAAGACTACGGCATATTGTTTGAAGATGACTCCAAATCCTATGCAGCACAGATGATAGGAAAGTCATTAAATAAGTTGAATATAATCTCGAAATAAAAACACGATAGTCGCACGTTCAAGATGGCCTCCATATGATTACAGCAGGCAAGGCGACGCAAGCTACCGCCCGATAAAACGCTAGAGCCAATGATATCCATCGGTTCATCCATTCATCTAAAAAACACTGAATTCTATAAGGAGTTTTTATTTAACAGGGGAAATGTGTAAAGGACTGCGCGTTGGAAGGTAATTGCATTGATGCTCGCGACATCCCCGTTCGGCGCACTTTATAGAAGTGTCGCAATACATGTGAAGAAATATGCTTCGCGGTCCTCTTCAACCTCCGAAGTCCTGATTTACATCAAAGAACTTATGATTTCGTTTTTGTGCTTCTTTAGAGTGAACAATCTGTAATACTCTAATACCAATCATGCCCTGAGTTTCGTAAGCTAAGAGCCACCTTAAATGACCTGATTATTAGTAATGATATTCCAATTCATTAAATCCCCCGAGGATCGCAATGCGACAATTGATGCAGAAACTTAACTAAAATTCCTTTCTGTCTTTCTCTTCATCGCTCTATTTTTATTTTTATGTAATGTGCGTCTCCGGCGTCTAGACTGATGTCACTGACTCTCTCATTTCGTAATTTATATCGCGTTTCGCTGTATGTCGTAAAAATAAAAAAGGCGAACTGCCCATCAGTTAACCCTCTTTTGGAGTTAGTGTCACATAAAACTAGGAGTAATGCCATCGTTGTGTCAACAAGCAATCGGTGTTGGCACTGACCCCAGCCACCATAAAAAAGCTCTCACGGCCTCAGATGCTCGGGAAGGAACGCCGAAAAACGCGTTAACGCAGCGCGTACTTGTGATAATCAGCCGCATGAAAACTTGGCCACGCAACCGGACGGACTGCGTCTTCGTATAAAAAGGACACGGAGCCATCGGTAAGGCTAAATAAAAATGGATAAAAAATTTAGCGTCTAAGGCCTGCTCGTTGAGTCGAGTTGATTAGCGCAATCAAATATGTTACCGCCTGCCATAAAAGCGACTCGCGTATGAAAGTGCGCAAGTATAAAAGGGACGGTGCCAACGATATTAAGTTGGAATTGTTTTTTTGACTCTACAGGAACTTACCGGCGCTACACTTGGGGACAACGCTCGCGTACATTGAGCACCGATCCCAGCTGTGCTCGCGCGCTCTTCACTTCGGAAATGTCAGAAAAAGGTGTCCCAGGTATGCCCGCAGGCAACGCCACCCAAGTAAGCTGGCACTCATGCGCCAGCTGCAATCTAAAGGCCGGTTCAGACACTTGCGTTTGAGAGCGTTTGACTGCGTTGCGTCGAGAACCGAAAGCGAGTCACGGGCACATCTGTACTTCGTATGAAGCCTGGGATCCAATTCAAGGAATCGTCTTGGCACGCGATATAAGCAGCAGGGATGTCGTGGTTTCTCGCAGCCGCAACGCAGTCAAACGCAGTCGAACACAAATGTCTGAACCAGGCTTAAGTCTGTGCTGTGGCACTGAGCAATACCACCTAAAAGATAAGGCCTGCGCATGACGACATCATTAGCGGACCTCCGACCCTCCCCTAAGCGGCAAACAGGCTGAAGCCTGACGAGAACGGCAGCAAATCACCAGACACCTCCGTCGTTGCGTCGCCGGGTATACTAGCGTCGCACTCGTTAGACGCTAGTACGAGGCGACGCTACCCGAAAGGCCGAGAGAAAAAACCAGTGGAAAGGAGGTACCGACTAAAACGCGTCTCGTGCAATCACAATTACTAAAAAAAAAGTTTTTTGCCTAAAATTAATTTTTTACAATCGTGTCCCAACCACACTGCTTAAAAAAAAAAAAAAAAAAACGTTTCGTTTCAAGAATTCTTTAAGCGAAATTATTCCATCTTGACCAGTAGCTGCTAAAGGCAGTGAATTCCATCGCAAAATGTGTTTAGTTTCGGATGCGATTCTACGACTACCTGCATGACATCCCATCGTTCACTGAGGGCTTAAGAAAGTCAGCGTGTGACTCATTGTGTTCATGATTCGTGTTTCGGTGTTCCTATTGGCTCATGGTTCCGTCTCTTTGGCTGCGTGGGAATAATAAGATGTTCCGGACCCCACCCGCTCCGCGTTTTTTAAGTTGCCAGTGAGTATCCGCGCGGAAGTTTGTCTGCTTTTTGCGTAGGGGTTTCCCTGACATCAGAACAACGAACGCCGAATAATCAAAGCCTCCGCATCGCCTCCTCTCCCTTCATGAAACGCCATCACATTCGGATCGCGCTAACTCGGCTATTGGGCCCGAGTCCGGCCTTCGACACGCTGATTGAACTCGAGTACTGCGTCAGTTCGTCTGCTCACTGACGCAGTACTCGTGCCCAATCTCAAGCCTCGATCGAAACGACTGTGACGACGGTGCGATCACGGTGCGAAGGCCTTCTGATTGTCTAGGTGGTGTTCAGCTGGGCCGCATTCCAAAGCGGCGTGGCGCCTGCTCGTCCCTTTGGCTCCGCGCCAGCTGTGCGACGCTCGTATTGGTCCGAAGCGCTGACGCTCACCACCTCACCCTCCCTCTCTCATCACCCCGCTCTCCTCGCGACGTCGTGCATGGCGCTGACAAACGGACGCATGAACGAACACCGGCGGGTTCTCGTGAAAACGAGCGTTCGAATGCTAACCCACAAAACGAAGTGTGACGGGTGTCAGCCGATGAGAACGCAGAGGAACGATTCGTAGAGCAGAATTCTTGAACGTATCTTAAGCCGCCCCCTGCGTTTCTTTTAATGCGGAGTGTCAGTTCGTCTGCTTCTTTTGCAGGGGTTGTGGTGACGTCAGAAAGACGGCGAGCTCTGATTGGCTCGATTGGAAGGATAGTGGGTAGACCTGAAGGCGGCTAGCATTGATGTCTACTCACTGTCCTTCCAATCAGAGCCAATCGCAACTCTGCGTTCTTATGTCACCTCGACCCCTGTGCGGGAAGCAGACGAAGTTTCACACCGCATTAGTTTGTGAATGTATACTCTCCAGACATGCACCGGAATTTCGCTCCGCTGTTGTTTCGCAATTGACGCGGAAACTCGTGATCCTATTGAAGTAAAACACGGGAGCGCATTTGCCTCTTAATCGAGATCATAATGGATTAGAAAACCCGACAAGCTAAGAGAAGAGCTAAGAGAAATGATTCCCAAAGAAGTCTCTTTCGGGGCCTTCGAGCATTTGCGGAAGTTATATCAGTGCTTTAAGCGTTACTGAAAAGAGTAACGAAATACTTGCCAATAAAAGGAACGCGTTACGGTTTTACATTATATCAAAATAAATGGAACGCGTCACCGTTACCGATAAAACGTAAAGCATGTTACTTTTGCTTCACTTTTTCGAATTATGACAGAAAACGTTTTACTGATTTTGACGTCACAGGTATGCATAACCGCCATATTTCATGAAATGTTATGTTCATGCAGAAACTGAACATATAATTACCTCATCGTTTTTAAGGTTTAAACTCAATACTCATCAGAAAAAAAAAAAACGAAAAAAAAACGCGAAAGCAGTAAAAATATTGTTTACATGGCTTGGAACCTAAAAAACGCATACACAAAAAAGAAGTGTATATTTTTTTTTTTTGTAAAAGAATATGTGATTAGTGACGTAACTGGCTTACTTGTTACTCGAAATGCGTAACGTAGGCTGTGTTTTTTAAAAAAAATTAACGATCATGTTACACGTTACCGAAAAGAAGCAACGCGTTAGCGGTACCACAGTTACTTGCAACGCGTTGCCGCCATCATTGGGTTACACCAAAGAACCACCTTGGGGACTTTCGCTAAATGCTCATTATCAAGGCATAGACTGCCTAAATGAGGCTTTCCCGAGCCAACACTTACCACTATTACTATTTTCAGGAGATTTCCTCTCTGGTTCATCAGTGCTACCCACGTAACTCTGTCTTTTCGTGTATCGAGTCGAAACCTCCCATCGAGATGCCGGCTCTTAACCGTAGAACAAATCGGACGATCTTTTAACGGTTCAGAGACCTTCAGCATCCCTGACCCAATTACTCAACCTGCATGTCGAGTCCGTTAGCCCCGTCTTTCCTCATTTTTTCCCCCCCTCCGAACCAATTACAACGTCCCATCGAGTGCTTCCCTCGCCCGAACATTGTGCCGGTCTCCGGTCTACGCGCGCGGGGTTGGAACCCCAGGGTCCGGCAATCGAGAGTTGCGGGGCCGTATTGCCAAGAGCGCCGCAATTGGAGGACAGACGTTCGAGCGCCCAAAGTAGATTGGCGTCGTCGCCAGATGCCTCTGGTCCGGCGTTATCGTCTGCACAAATAGGGAAACGGGGACGGCCAGATCGGGGGGTTTCGGAGCTTGGCGAACTTCGCGTCCTCTTTATGTTGTGGCCGTTCGCTGATTGCGCAAAGGCGCGCGGACCTCGCCCCGTCAAAGGTATTCCGCGGGGACTTGGACCTAACGAGCGTGAAGCTGACTAGGCTGCAACCTAGAAGACAAAAGGCCTGCGCGTGGCGACACCGCTCGTGAATCCTCGCTCTCTAGGCCTTGTCTTCTAGGCTGGATTGAATGAGGACGCTATGAGCTAGCCAAGTCAATTCAGCTCTTTGAGCCTTATTACGTGGCGAAACGCCCTTCCTTGAGGTCAAGTGACGCTCCCACGCCGTTGGAATGTTTCCGACAGAGCCCTGGTTTCCGATGACTTGTAGCACCCTCTGCAGTCCATTGTACGCACCAATGAAACCCTCTGACGTCACATCGCACTGCGGCGGCGCTGCTGTCGGCACTGCGCCTACTCGGGCGTCTCATCTCATACCACTCTGGTTTCTGTGCACGCGCAGTGCGAGCGTGTTGGTGTATCCAACGGAGCGCAGAGGATGCAGCCGAAGCCAATCCGAAGCCGTGTGGGCGTCACGCGACTTCGGTAGGGGTAAAGTGACTCACGGGGTCAAGTAGTCACGTGATGAGATTTCCAGGGCTGGATTGGCTAGCGCCGATGGCTCGTGGTGGACGCTTGGGGTCCATTGTAAGGTGAGGTGGAGTATAGCAGAAACGGTTATACGCCTAGCTTTGCTCTCGACGTGCGACTTACGTCTGCTTACGACGAGGTGGTTGCTATGGCAACCGAGGTCCGCTCAACGCGTGGTGATGGAATGCGAGGAGTCGTACCGCGCAGTCGGATCGCACTCAACACTCAAGTGCCTGAGCAGGTCTTTAGTAAAAACATTATGGAAGTAGTGAAAGTTGCTGGAGAAACTCTAGTACAGGAGTTTACAAGATGGCCCCCTAATGACGGCGATCTTTCATTTAAGAGAGTCGATACAGAGTGTAATTTTTATGAGACAGAATTAAAAAAAAGGAGGAACTAGCATTAGGGTTCTTTCAGCCTTAATGCTAAGTTGACTGTCATGAAGAACAAAGAGAAGAGGCGACGTTGATTAATTACTTATCTTAATAACAAAATTGCCTGCAATAAATTCTTTTTTTTTTTGTCTCGGAGCATGATTTAGATAGGTCATTGACGCTCGATCTCATAATAGACTAACCGTGGCGTATATGTTTTATTATCAAATTCGTTGCGGGAGCTGCGAGAGTTCAAATGTCCGCTTGTACACGACTTCAAACCGCAGTTAATCCGGCGAAGAGTGCCGGCAACATCAATCCCTCCGCTCTGCGCTTGCGTCAGACTGACCGCGTGACCTACGGCGAGACCACTCGGCTTGCGGTGCCAGCGCTGAGCGGCGGAGAAATTGACGTCACAGGCGCTCATCGCCGGATTATTTTAGAGCAGCGTAAAAGGATGGCGTTTTCTGCCTCGTAACGTCCACTAGGCATTTTCAAATACAAAATTTACGTCACGGCTAGGCTATAAGCTGGTGAAGCGTCAATTCTCCAGTCTACATACGCCCCCGAAACAAAAAAATATAAAGAAAGTTCATCATATTGCTACCTAAATTACCTTGGTAATGAACTGATTTCGTCTCGTTTCTAATGGCCTTTAGGGCCATCTACTTTGCCCCAGGTCTCAAAAAGACCTATAGCGCAGGTTCCTTTAAAAATATAATCAGAATACAAAAAAAAAAAACACTTTATAGCCTTTTGGCAAAGCTTTGGCTGTTATTTTGAAGCTGTGTGGGATGATTTGCTATCCGGATCTATTACATTTGGCTGAGTAAGGGACATGGACTACAATTACGCATTATTGAGGATAATTTCTTCTTTGAATTAATCTGTTTCGAGCGGACGAACCCTAAAAGAAGAGAAAAGACAGAAACGATTGAAGTTCGGTGAACTCCAGAAACTCCTGAATGTAGCCTACAAGATCTCAATTCGCGAATAATCTGCTATACAGTCTAAAGAAATGGAGCGTCTGCTTTTACGCAAAGCAATGCGGAGCCCAAGTCCGTCCGCTTCTTGCACAAGGGTTGCGATGATGTCAGTACGCCCAATTCGTATTGACTGATTAAAAAAAAAAAAGAAAAAAAAAGTGGGTGGACCTCGAGGGTTTCTAGCATCGAGGTCTGCCCACTATCTCATCAATCCAAGCCAATCAGAGCTCAACGTCGTTCTGACGTAACTGAAACTCCTGCGCAAGAAGCGGAGGACTTGCTCTCCTATAGACCTTCCTCAAAACCCCATCAAGCAACACTGGCAGTCGGCATTTCTTGGGAGCAAAGCGTATGATTGGATCCGAGTCCTCGCCGAACACTGACGTCACACTCGTATCCAATACGAGCGGAGCCGAGTTCACGCCGAACGTTTACGTAACCTTCGCGCCCAATACGCGCTCTGGGTGTGTACCCGATGAGTGTCCGATTCTGATAATAGGCGCAGCAGCTACTAGACGGCGCAGACTTGTGAAAAGGATCTATTAAGAAAGCGAAAGGTTGCAACCTATACGCGGGAAGCAGCTCGGGGAATGCCGAGGCTGAAAATATGTTTTGAATTAAAAAAGGCTTGAGGTACACCTAAGCACTTCTTATGAGTTGTGAATGCGAAAGCATGCATGCCGTTCTTCCGCTTCCTTATTTCGTTTTTGGCGTATTTGCGTCGACGGCCCGAGCGCGTTCTCTCCTCGCCGCTCTGACCTTGGACGCTTCGTGTTACAGGCGCGCTGGCGGTGTTACAAGCAGCGCCGTGGGGTGGAGGTCGTTGAAACTGACGCGCGCCAGCCAATGGGACCGAAGCAGAAATCCATCAGATTTTGGCTTCACTCCGCTCCTTTGGAATCGGGGGAACTAGGTGCCGTTTGGATAGGTTGTTCGCGTGACATCAAGGTTGGGAGATGCCAGATCGCGATTTCACTTAGAGGAAAGAGTTCATGTGCCGTTTAGCGCGGCTTCGAAGATGATGACGTCGGCTCCCGCTATAAAAAAAAAAAAAAATTATTGCTTCCGCATTAAAAAAAAAAAAAGTTGTCTGCGGTGTGGCACTATATGAGCGTGACGATTCACCGTGCTCAGTGCAATACCGCCTAGAAGACAAGGCCTTCTCATGACATCATCATTAGTGGATCGGCTTCGCCTTCTTCTTGAGGTGGACAGACCGAACGACCATCTCGTTAAGCGAATGACCATTCCGTGACGTCATGAACTTTGCGTGCAGAATTTCAAATAAATCTCTCGCCGTCAACATTGCTCTAAAAAAACTTATTTTTCGACAGGAGTGTCCCAACTAGACTGATCGAAAAAAAAAAACGTTTTTTTTTCTCTTCAAGTGCCCCTTAAAGAGAAACTAAAGTGATTTTGTATGTAAGAAAAAAAAAAACAACGTAAATCGTATTCATTTGAAATTCAGGATGACGAATATCGGGATCATTTTTTTTTTTTTATTTTGGTACACGGAGGAGGCAGAAAATATTTTTCAAAGTACCCGTAAAGCCCCCCTTCCCGGAGCATGACGTCATAAGCAGAGTTTTAGGAATCTCCTCTTTCGCGCATCTTCAGCGCCTATCAAAGCTATGTACATACGCGCACTCTCCCTATTTTTATAAAGGTAAGACAAAGACGTCACGACTGATGTCAGTACGGGGGAAGATACCTCGCAAGCTTGCACTTGCACGCGTTGTCCACACGAGCGACACGCGCTTGGCGGCCCAAAGATCCCCCTATGACGTAACGACTTGTCGGAGGGTTTTCGCGTTTGTCGCCTTTAGTTACGTATTCGGCATAAAACATCATGATATTCAGATGCTCTGGATAAAAATACTCACGGATTTACCCCTAACTCGTTTTTTGTTTTGTTTTCCATAAGATTTTTTTGGTTCGCTTTTTAATGGTTTCTAGGGATTCACTGGGGGTCAAATTTTTCGGAAGCCGCGACGATTCTCTAGTTGCCTATTGCCGTTTCACTAAGCCGCGTCAAGAGGGCGCTAACAAAACGACCAAATGCATCGGTAGATTAATTGCGACATAGACTGACTTCGGTAGAGGCTCTTGCGTATCTTCTCCCCGATGGCCGTGCCGTTGTTGATGGTGCCGTTCTCTCGAAGCACCTCGGTGGCGGCCCGGGCCCACAGCATCACGGCGTCGTAGGTCATGCCGGCGTAGATGGGAACCTGCAGAACACAAGGGCGTCTGGAAGCTCATCGGCTTCGGTTGTCGCAGTGGGGGGCTCGTGAAAATTTTAGGGGGTTTTGGACACTCCAAACCACTACCTACGCCGCACGCTTTTTCCTTGTCTTGTCCCGCTGTTTTAAACCAGGGTGTTCATTAACCAACTGGCCCAAACATAGCTTTTAGCTTGCTTTCCCCTTTTGCAAATATCAGCTGATCTTCCAACATCTTATCTCGTTTTGTGCAACAATCTATGTTGATAAACCAACCTACCACTAAATTCGAAAGTCATTCGTAATTTGAGTATAAGTTGCCAGGAAAAAGTAATTAAAGTAAACTACCAATTACGGCAATAAAAATCTAATTGAAAGTTACTAAACTACTAAAAAAAGGTAGTTAAATTTCAGTAACTTGAATAGAGTAGTTGACCTACGTACAGGTCTGCTCTGAGGACCCTAGGATATTTGTTTTCAGGTGTCCTTCCCGTACACACTTGTGGTTCTATGTAGCGCCGGACTGATAAGTCATATTTAGTTTTTTCAATGCTTCTGTTCTCGGAGACAACTTTCTGAGGCTGTTCAGCAACAGCGTAAACATGTTCGGGTGCCTCAATGATGCGTACATTTCCAATGGGTCGTGCAACAATTTTTTGTACGTTCAATAAATACCGCTAAGAACTAATCCCTGACGTTGATAACTTGCTAAAGTACCCATTAGTTGTCATTACCGCGCAATGGCAAGCGCATAAAAAATAATGGAAAGAAACAACATTCCCCTCCTCAACTTGCAATTAGAACAAGCCGGCATATGATCTGGAGCTAATTATACACCGTGAGTGTTCATCATAATCATGCGCTGGGGTTGGCAAAAAATAAAGCAGGGGTACAGCTTTAGACACAGTTAGAGTTCGATTATTTTCACTTTTGATTGAACATGCACAAGCCATTACTCGAAAATCTGGCGATGCTGATTGTCAAGAACCCGAGCACTCGACTCGGGCCCTAGACAATCAAGTACGTCACAGTGTCGCGTGACTCTCCGTGCGAAGTCTTGATGTCATGTGACGTCACGGGTTCAACAACGCTAATAAATCTAGTGACGTTCTCAATTTAAAGCGACTTCACGCAGTAAGTCCTGTGATTCCGTCACATGATGTGACATTACTTGCCAGCGTGTCGTGACGTCACGTGACCAGGTGACACACGATTAATCATAGTGCCAATACAAAATCGCCACGAAAACACACGATTTATCACACATTGAAATGCTGTATTTGACGATTTGATCAATGCATAGAAATACAGCTTTCAACTTTTTTTTATTCTCAAATATTCATTTTGACATACTAAAAAAAAAGTAAAATTACCGTGAACCGTTTGGAACCGGCTACCGTTATCTATTTTTCCAGTTCAGTTCCGGTTCAGTTTCAAGATGGCGGCGAATATTTCGGTTCGGTTCAGTTCGCGTTCGGTTAAAAATAACGGTTCGGTTCCGATTTTCGGTTCGGTTCGGTTCCAGTTCGACACTCCGGGCGTCACCACAACCCCTGCAAGAGTAGCAGACAAACTTACGCTCGGCGTAGGCCCCGCCCTCTGTTTCTATAAACTGCTAGAGACTACATAATCACATCGTGCACCCTAAGCGCAGTTGGCGGCCTCAACAAGGTCAGCGCGCTCACACTGGAGGCAGTGCACGCCGGTAACCTTTTCGCGAGTCCGGTTGCTGACCGCTGCTCTGAACGACCGAAAGAGACAGGAAGACAGAGCGCGTCATTATTCTTCGGTACTCATCGCATCACCGACGCTATATATAACGCAAGACCTAAAGCGTACACATTCGTCTCGCTTGCCCCAGTGGCCCCGAGGACAATAAAACTATCTTTTTACGGCCGCAAGGATATTATTACCCCGATCTCGAAAGATAACGCGAAAGGTCTCTTTCTCGCCCGGGTGGCCCAAGATGGGTTCACTGAAATTCATTCGATCCGCTTAAAGGTCTTCACACAGGTCGTATTTTTTTTTAAATTCGACAATTCATTGGAGGGTGGATTACCGACGAGACGCCAGGACAGACCGGTAGCTCCCCTATAAGAAGACCGTATGGCTGTATTGTCAACGTTACCTAAAGAGGCGAACGTTGGATGCACAGATTCAACGAAAGTATTGCGTCAGTGTTTGGCCGAGGGCTGTCCTCAGACAGTGAGGACATGGACCTTAGCCGAACGCAGATGCAGGCTTAGGGATGATGCATAGTTATCTAGAAGGTGTTGGACAGGGTTGCAGATACCACCGGAGGGTGACCAGTGATGTGGGACGATAACAATTCATTGATTGGTCCAGCGGCTGCTACATTTCACGCTAACGCAAGCCTAGTCTGAGGGCGTTGTGACTGTGAAATCGATCTCGATTTTCATCTCCTAGAGACGGCTTCAGCGTAAGGTGCCGAGGTGAAGGAGCCAGTTTGCCACATTACCATGCTCATACAACTCGTTTGACATTGCATCGTTAGAGCGTCCTTGACAGGTTGCCATGACGTAGGTTTCTTCAGATTGTTACAAGCTTTATTTTTGTACTTGTAAGACGACTACCTCTTGGCTTTATATCGGAAATACAACAGGGTTCTTGAAGACTATATAGATGTATTTGTTACCCGAAAATTATGCTGTCCTTAATTTGCAGTTGCCTTCCACCTGTCTCCTACTGATCCGTGTTTTACGCGAAAGAAAAAAAGAAACAAACTAATGATTGGAAGTATTATATCCCTGCTGCCAGCATCTTCACCCAAGCTTTTTATAGAGGCTAACCTAATGACCAAGCTCTTGCTTATTTTGGGGAACTCTGCACCAGGGATGGGCAGTATTTCAAATACAAGTATTTCAAATAGGTATTTCAAATACTCGTGCATTTTGCATTTGTATTTAATTACAAATTGAGTAATGTATTTGACGTGTGTATTTAAATACTAAAAGGTGGGTATTTCAAATACAATCGTAATTAAACACAATTTTGCGGGCGAAAATACATCCCTCAAATTTATTGTCGCGACTCATTTTGCTCATCCTAAGACGTGTCCAGAGCAGGAAGCAAACTACGTTCTGCACCGAATACAGCGTCTCTCAATCAAGCACAAGCGTTTAATGACTTTGTGATTACGGTGCTAGTCCAGGGCAAGAATAGTTACGAAATCGACGTTCACAGGCAGACTGGCTAAATAAGTGCCTGTGACAACTTGTGATGCTTTCCAGCCTGATTTCCATTCATATTTTTGCCTGGAACATTCTAAATGCGCGGGTCGTCCAGATTTTCGTAACTGGTGCGAGTTGCAACAATAACAAATTCTCTGGCTAGTGCTGCGCCTCTTGGTCGTCTCAGTTCTTTGTTGGTCTAAACCAAAATGTAATCGACAAAAAAAGCTGCTTGAAGCTCTGTACTTTTTTCACCTATTACGTCCAAACTGATCACATTTTTTTGTGATTATATTTCTATTACGTTACTAGAGCCTCGCACACTAACTCCCGAGTGAGCGATGCAAAATTAAACTGAGATACCCAGAAACCCGTTGCAGGTGCCCTAAAGTCGCTGACGCAAATTTTGAGGAATATATTTGGAAAAGTATTTGGAAGAGACCAAATACATTTGGTTGTATTTGTATCTTGTACTTAAATGCTTTTTTGGAAATGTAATTAGATTTGTAATTAAATAGATTTTTGACGAAGTATTTTGTATTTGTATTTCGATACATATTCGCATGTATTTTGCCCATCCCTGCTCTGCACTAAGTTTAAGCTTTTAGCGGAGCTATCACGTTCCCTAGTGTTCTACTATATTAAGCAGGGTTTTATACTTTCCATCCATTACCCGTGTTTGCAGTTAAAAATAAGAAATATCTATTTAATGCGTCGAAGCGTACTTTTCTCTTCCCTGAATGAATTTTTGTGAACGTTTAAATAGAAATTTTTTCTGCAAGCTGTACTAAGTTTCATACATTTTAGTAAATGCGCAATAAACGTACATGATAAACTTCACCTCTGCCGATTCGCGGTTACCACCTCTCCCTAGCCCACTCCAGTACCCTTTCACATCAGCGGCTCATTTTGGCGACTTAAAAAAAGTGACGGATAATTACTGATATCACTTCAATGTTTAACCTACACAAAAGAAACCTTGTATAGCCCTTCAAATATACGAGGAAACGTTTGCTTCAGACCATCTTCGCATCATTCGAGTCATCCCCCCGTGTGCTGTTGAACCGTTAAAGGGACACTACAACGAAATTTCGGCGCTTATTGTTTGCTCTCTATGTGTTCAAAGGAGCAGCATCACATTGAACACACCAATATCTGGTGAAAAAGTCACAAAAAGGAATTTTAAAACGATATATACGATTAGCAAGAGCACTTAATGGATATCGCTAACGCCTCGTTTGTAATGCCCGTCTAGGAACCTTGGGAGGTAGTGACGGTAACTGTCCCGCCTCCGGGCACCATGAGAGAAGAGGGGAAGGAGGAACTCCCCTCTTCCCGAGAATCCCTTTTGTGTGACCCAGAAGTCGCTATTGTCCCTCTACCAGATTATAGAAGATTAACCCGTCACTCAAGATTCGTACAAAAGCAGCCGCTTCGGTGGCTGGAACGACTAGGCCGTCCTCTCAACGTCAGCCTCGCCGTAGCTTTGCTCGTCCCGAGACGATCTACGTCACGATTGCGTTGAATGTCACGTGGTCTCCGCTGGCTGCTCGCCGAGCACTTGCCAGGGTGGGCCGTTTATAGCGAAAAATATAGCCACCAGGCTCAAAATGCAAGCGTGAGATTGTTATTTACGGATATTGTGGACCATAATCAACCTATTTTTGAACACAACGAGAATATTTCATATTTCGTTGAAGTATCTCTTTAAACAAGCTATACCCGAGATATTTGATTCCTAGAGCGCCTCTCCGACTGGTGTGTATACCGTCCTATTCTTTGCCTGCATCGAAAGTGGCCCCAAATTTGCGACAAATGACGCAACAAACGCCGGAGTGATATGCTGTCCTATGTAGCGATCCTGATTGGTCGGTCGTAGAAGATGAGGCAAAAAGCACGAGCAGACGCGAGTGTCGCTGTTATCGCGGCGTCCTTACTCCTGGCTGCCAAGGCTTCCGCGATCTGCCACAGTGGAGAGCGACTTGCAGAAGAACAGGGCGTCTGTCAGATCCACCATTGATGCTGTGACACCGTCCGGATCGCTACCGGCGACAGCGAGAGACTTTTATGACATCATCGAGCGCAAATCGAGGGATCAGTGTTTTTTTTTTTTTTTTAGGTCGCGGCGAACACGCCGTTTAGAAACGCGTTCGAGGCACCATACTAAAGAAGCGCCAGCCATCTTGTTGCATAAAATCACTGTTGCCAGTCATTCAATGCTTCATACACCCCTCCCCCAGAAAAAATAAAAATATCCCCCCCCCCCCCCCCCCCCCCCAGGAAAAAAAAAAAGAATAAGAACCGCTTCTCTTTCGTGAGGACGTATGTTCAGCGAAGCTGGCGCTCTGGTGTGATTTGCTATATCGGGCTTGGAGCAGCGGCAACGGCGGTTTCACGTTGGCAGCGTGCCCATTCTCGCTTTTGGGCGAGCGGACGCTCCTCGTACTCCCACTGCTCCTCTTCAGAACCTACAACATGGGTGCGACCCATGTGAAGTCTGAAGTCCAACTGACAAGGACAGTTGCGCTATCTTCAGCCGGTGGCAGCCGAAGAGCACGCGGCATTGCGCAATGTCGGCGGGGGGGGGGGGGGGGGGGGGGGTAGAGACGTGGGCAAGGCGCCGGGGCGAAAATGGGTGAATGGGGAGTGCCGGTACACTCTAAAAAGAGGGTATCACCGTACACCCTTTTGTCCCATATAATGCACCCGAAAACTTTAGTTCAACGTGCAGCGCACTATAGTAAAACAGAAGGCTCCAAATTTTATGAGGGGCTCAGGGGGGGGGGGGGGGGGGGGGGGGGAAGGAGGGAAAGGGAACGCGGCGCAAAGCGGAGGCTGCCATATTAAAACCGCTTACGTTGCCAGCATAGGTTTTGCAGCGGAGAAGTTGCTGCTATATACGGCGGACCGAGTTTTACTTTCTTTTTCGTTTTGGAACGAGAATGTATTGTTGTGTTACATAAGTCCTCCTGCATACAGACAACGAAATTGAATTATATTTGTCTTGTTTACTTGGTTTGAAACCCTAGAAACGGGTTTTTGACGACTTATTGCTTTCGTCATTTTGGAGTACGCAAGGCAGTTATCTCGCTGTTCTGGTTTCGGTTACGAAAGCAAAGCAAAACGCTCGTAGTTCCCGCCCCCAATACACGTTGGACACCTTCCACACTTTGACACCAGATAACTGTATGAACAAGGGTTTACATTTACTTCAGAGGTAACTTTCGCCGCTTCCTCACCGTCGAGCAGCCGGATCAGCTGGCGGCAAGCCGCGGATGAAAGGCTTGGGTGGCTAGAGCGGCTAGTGCATCAACAGCCTAGAGCCACTACAACAGCCCAAGTGCACTCAGTGCCGATGTGGGCGACGCGGGCTTCTGTCAACCCAGCGGCGGACCCAAGAGGGGGGCGACGGGGGACGCCCCCCCCCCCCCCCCTACCCCCTTCTCGAAGGGCGATTTGACATGGGTGGATCCCCCGAAGTAACACCAACTACCGGCCTGCCAGGTGGTAGGAGGCTCGGTACTCAAGGACGAGGGTTCGAAATAGGGTAGGCCGCACCCTAGCAGGCACACTGTACTGTGAACTTGGAGAACCACTCCGTCGCTTCAACCGAGACTGAAGTCCGCGGCGGCGGTATCAAAGCACGGCTTAGAACCAAAAGTCCGCGCAGCGGCGCACATCTAGGGGCCGTCGGCGCAGTGTGGTTCTGCGGCGGTTTAAAACAAAAGGCGCAACCCGAGTCCTGTCTATCTTACTTTAGATCCCACCCCCCCCCCCCCCCCCCCCCCCCCCAAAGAAAAAAAAAAAACAAAACACGGAGTTCTGGGTCCGCCTTTGGGTCAACCGGTAGCCCAGCACAATCCGTGAACGTCCCAGCTCTTCGCCATGAAACGGTGTTGCAGAAAGCAGGGTAAAATACAACTACACGGACCACCGAATCAAATGCACCGTTATCGTAAATATTGGCTTGTGATTGCGCCTTTGTAGATCATCTTATTCGTTTTGCTGGAGAGACGCAACCGACGGGCGTAACAAAATCGTTTGAGTATTCCGCATACCTCGCAAAAGCACTTACCCAGTCACCTTGCGAAAAGCGCGAAACACGGAGTCCGCACCGCCCTGACTTACCAGTCTTTTACCTGCTTTAGAGCAGTTTGTACCTGCTAGTAGGCATGTCTACTGAAACTGCAACTTGAAACTAGGGGCAACGCCAGAGAGAAAAGAGACAAAGTTGGGAAAGCATGCTCGCTCTCTCCAATTTCTGAACTCTCAAGTGATTGTACCATAATAAATTCCCCAACACCTTTCCAAAATAAAGAAAAAACGCTATGTTCTACGTAAAAAATGATCTCAGTTCATGCATCCGCAGGCAGGAGGAAACGTTGCCCAAATTTATTCACACCACATAACGAGCGCAACAAACTCACACGAGATTTACAAGAAAATATCGGTGGTGACTTAAGTTTCCCTAAAATTCTGTATAACCGGTTGTTTGCAGGACCGAATCATCTACTCAGGCGGTGTGCGTCGCTGTGTGCAAACGCCAACAACACGAAGCATAAAAACGGCAGGTCTAGGACAACAATCCGGAGTCCATTGTTCAATTAAAACGACGTAATTTTGTTGAAAACGCCCGCAGCTTTTTACTCACGGTATGTGTCGAGAATCTTCCACATTTTGAAACGGAACGAAGGAAGATTTACTTTTAAAAGCGCTCACTGCGTCCTCCCGGACCAGCTGGACCGGATCAGCTGACGACGACGGGACTGAAACCGCTGAATTTCAACCCCACAATAACCAATTTGCGCTTCGTGTTAGTATGGGCTTCTACCTCCAAGCACCCCACCACACACCACGAACGTTTCAACTCTTTGCCGCCCATCGCCGTGTTGCACCAAACCTATCTCTATGCACCAAACAGAACGAGATCGCCGAAGTCAACGGAGCGCTGTCGTGAACCTTGGCTTGTGGCTGCGCACTCGTGGACCCTGTGACTCCCTTCGCTTTCAAAGCGCACACGGAGATTACGAATAATACTTTCCGTCTTCCGGGACCATCAAGGGGCACTTCTCCGGTCACGTCTTCGCTACATGTGCTCGAAAACCGCGTCAAACGTGGTCAAACCGAAGCTGCCGAAGCAAAACCGGCGCCATGTTGAACGTGCGTTGTTGCTAGATTTTCTCCGACCAAACAAAAACAACGAAAGCAAACCGGCTCTAGCTTCCAGCGTACATCGGCGTTGCGCCGTGGCCAGATTTTCTCCGTCAGCTCTAACTTAAAGATGACCTACAGATGCAGCAACACTGGTATCAAGTTTTAACATGGCGGCCCCCACGGAGCGCCGTAAATTCTGAGGAGGGTGCATTGGAAGCGGCGGCACCTTCCCCCCCCCTGGAGGGGCTTGATAACGGTGCGATATAATTTATTGAATAGCTAAAGTACGTATCAAAGACCACAGCAAGGAAACACTGAGGTTGTGCAGTAACGCCAAGAAAACCCCGATTATTTTTTTTTATAGCCAGAAACACGGACATTAGATATTTTAATAAGTTGTACCACACGGCTATGAAACCACTCGTGAAAGTTAGTACCTTCAGATAGACATCACTGTGCGTTACGTTGAACTGAAGTTTTGGGGTGTATTATTTGGGATAAAGGGTGTAAGAATACACCCTGTTTTTAGAGTGTACTTCAAAGCCGCCGTCGCCCTGCTCATACATCCTACAAAGGACACGTTGTTCGCGGCAGACACAACAGAAATATTTGCGGGAACGCTTCAAGAATGTTCGAAACATGTTTTGCTTCACACATTTGTATGCAGACAGTTTTCGTGTGACCAGCGTGAGACGACCGTCGTCGTACAAGGACCAAACACGCATCATACAACGCCTGCTGACCGTCTTTTGAAGGATGTATGCGAGCAGCGCATCTCGTCCACTCTATAGGTGCGACTATAAAGGCAGAGCGTCCACGTTACCTTGAACTTGAGTTCCGTGTGCATGGGGATGCAGAGCGGCTGTGTCTCGGCGTACCGCAGCACGGCGTCCGAGAACTTCTGGTACTGGTCGCTGGCCGGCACGCTCGGTGAGAGCAGCAGCACGGCGCGGAACGGGAAAGGACGAACCTTGGGCGAATCCTCCCAGTCTGCGGGCGCCCACGTGAAAAAGCAGGGCAAAACAAAGACGCGTTCATTGCGAGGCTTTGGGAATATGTCCCGAACTCGCAGAAAAATAAAGGCCCTTTAATCGCCATCTCGTATAGACATAGTCATTGAAAGTTTAAGAAGCGAGGGGCGTGGTGAGTTCAGAACATGTTATTACTGTTTTGTTTCTAATAATACTGCAACTTTAGCTCATAAAAACGGTAAAGAACGAACCACACAGGATGAAGCGTTAACGTCAAAAACCACCCCTTAAGCTGCAGTGTCAGGGACTATACGGTGTGCAAGTTTGTCTGCTTTTTGCGCATGCAGGGTTAGCGGAGGCGTCAGGACGCCGACCTAGGATGGGCTCTAATTGGAAGGATTGTGGGTAAATCTCAATGCTAGCTGCCTTGAGGCGTACTCACTATACTTCCTATCAGAGCCAATCAGAGCTAGACATTCTGATGTCACCGCAGCCCCTGCACCTGAAGCAGACGAAATTGCATTCTGCGCGTACAAGACAAGGCCATAGAGCTCAATTGAAAGCCTTTGAAATGTCCTGAGTGTACCTATTAGACTACACTCTAAGAAATGCCTGCGCGTCCACTTACCCGCAAAACACTGGAAGAGCCAATCTCTGCGATGTACGAAATCAGCTCAGCGAATGATGAGGTGGAACATTTGTTTAGCCCTAAAAATGAAGTATGCGCTGTAACATTATGCAGTGCAAACATGAGGCTTTGCATTGCGTAATGCTACAGCGCAGACTTCATTTTGAGGTATAAACGGATGTTCCGCCGCATCATTCGCTGGGCCGATTTCGTAGATCGCAGAGATTGGCTCTTTGAGTGTTTTGCGGGTAAGTAGACGCGCAGGCATTTCTTAGGGTGTAGAACAGCCTATACTTCATTTCACCCTAAGTCCAGACGCAGCCGACCCTACGAGCTGATGGGGCTAAGCAGATAGCTGAACCAACCATGAACAGGAAAGGGCCGGTGACTATTGGTTTCGATGTTGCTTGATTGGTTCATTTACCTCGTAGCGTCGGCAGCGTCTGGACTTAAGCTGATAGGAACAATAGATAGCAATGTCATTGTGCAGAAATTTCTGGGTCAGCTACTGGAAGCCAGCGCGGAGCACAAAATTAATACGAGTGCTGCGTCAGTGTTCAGCTAGGATTTGTGCTGAATAATTCCGAACGCGAGTTACAGGCGACCGCTGACTTGGCACTCGTGCACTCGTGCACGCTTGCATCCGGTAGGTGCTGTAAAAATTCTAGCACTATGGTTTTGTTCTTCTAGACCGTCTAAAAAAATGTAGGAAGGGCTGAAACGCTTGGAGCTTCTGTCGATGTTCCGACTATATACTTATCAGTTTCTGCATATTTCGTAATACTTTGTATGTAAAGCTGTCCAGATATTAACAAGGTTGTCACGTTTCAAAATGCATGTTCTGATTTGCCCGTTCTTAATACGTACATATCAGATAATATTAAACGCCAATGTCACAGGCAGTTGTTAGGTTATATTTGCTAAATCGTTACATACGCTCGTTCCTTCGAGTGTTGGTCATATTCGTTACAAGTGCTGGTTTGCTCATTTATAAACTTCTTTGTACGTTAGTTCTTTGCAATCCGTTCGGTGTAGCTTATGCTTGTTAGAAGCATTTTGCAACGGCTATAAATATTACCCCGATGCCATGTAATTGTGGGCCTGTTGTTCTATTTCGTCTTGAAAACTGAACCTAAGGTCGTTAGCTTTGAGAAAGAGTTCCTCAAAACCTACGCACCTGACTGTTGCATCAACATTACTTATAAAAGCTTCTTTTTATTTAATTTTTCAAAATGATCGTTTATATAACATTTACTTCGATCCGATTTCACGCATCACACACAAAGGCGCTGTTTTTATAACGATCGAAACTCAAACGTCAACTTCGTGGAAACTTAAGACAACACAGGCACAGAGTTTTTTGTCTTAATACAAACTAGGACGGGAAAAAAACATCGCGACTGAGTTTGAGACGTGTGCGTCGTTCATTTTGCCCCCTCGATATCAGGTTTCCACGATGTTGAAAGATCGCCAGGTCGTCCGCGCCTTTATCGTTAATTATATTCAATGTCATGTTCATGAATGTTGTTATAGGACGACGGCGAAAGTAATCCCTGGAGAAGGGGAACAAGAGGGACAAAGGACAAACATAAATCTACAAACACAGCTAGGCGACTGGTGAGCGACCGAAAAAATCCGCCTGGTCTGGGTATCGAACCAGGGACCTTTCCATTACAAGTGGAGCGCTCTACCAACTGAGCTAACCAGGGGTTAACTCATTTATGTTTGTCCTTTGTCCCTCTTGTTCCCCTTCTCCAGGGATTACTTTCGTCATTCTTGTCCAGCTCGCTTGCACCTTTGCATTTAATTGCATTATAATTAATTTTGTTATAGGAGTCGGCAGCTTCAAGGTTTTGAACCTTTCTTGTTTTTTGTGACATGTCGCTGGTTCACAATTGCTTATTGTCGAGCAACGCTGAAAATTCTTGGATAGCCTGTACCTAAAGACATTACAAAATAACATGTTAATGTCAACCTTCACTCTCTTTGCACTGTAAATGCTTCACTAAACTCTACTTAAGGGCGTTTCAAAAGCTGGTTAATGTAAACCTATTCGACATTTGCACTGTACATGTTTTCATAAATTCTACCCAAATACATTGCGAAAACATGTTGATATCGCCCTTTCGCAACCTTTTCACTGTGGATTTTGCGCTAAACACTATCTAGATACATTAAAAAAATATGTTAATGTTAACGTTTATGATTTTGCATTGCAAATTTTTTCTATGATTCTAGCTAAATATATTACAAAAACATTTTGATATAAAGTTTTATGATCTATGCATTGCAAATACTTTGGTAAACTTCAATTAAAGGTGGACCAGAAACGTATCGATGACAAACTTTACGACATTTACGTGCTCCAAACCTGTAACCATCAAATGTGCTTCTCGGCATAAAACACCGCGGTGGGGTCGTCAAGAAGTGCTTTCTACAGGGTGTTCCCCAAAACGTTTACTGGGCTTTTGCACCACAAAAATGAACTATACATCATTGAACGCTGATCTCTGCTCAGATGTAGCTCTAGTGGTCCGAACCACATGCCAACGTTTTACAACTTACCGTTCTTTCATTCAAAAGTTAGAAAATACTTTCTAAGAATTTCGATGGAAAAAAGGCAGCCGATTAGCCCCTCGAGTATACATCAAGCTGAATGGCACAAGTTACAGAAAAAGGGCGAAAACGGGCTCCACTCAATACAGTTTTCAGGGAGTCACTTATAATTTTTAATGAGATAACAGATAGTTGTGAAACTTTGGCATCCGCTTTGATCCGCTAAAAAATTTAGGCGGAGAATGAGCGTTCATCGATGCCTAGTTTATTTTTGCGGTAAAAAAAAAAAAAAACACTACATTTTTTATTTATTTCTTTTTTTTTGGGGGGGGGGGGGGGGACGCGTTATACATCTTCAAGGGGTATGGCAGAGGCACTACGAGCAACCAAAGACACTTTAAAAGGGGCTGCAACGCGTTTCTATTCATTTTTAACTTGCATAATTTGCCCTTGAGCTAGTTGCGTAGACACGGTAAAACTATGCGCATGAAAATGTCGAACCGGAATCGAACCAAACCGAAAACTGGAGCCGAACAGTTATTAGAGTGTTTTAGGGAACCGTTTTTGCACATCCGATGCGGTACGATGAACCGTCCGAACGAACTGCGCATGTGCAAGTCTTCTGCGGTAGCATATGAGCAGTGCTTAGTGCTTACCGGTGGGCACATCATACCGTAAAAAATGTACAAAAACGGTTCCCTAAAACTCTCCGCTGTCCGAGGCGTGTCTCTTTCCTTCGCGAAGCTCTTGTCACGTTGGTCATACAAATACCGTCTGCCGACATGTCCGAATCTTAACTATGCATGGAGCAAACAAGCTACGAAAATCCTTAAGGCGCGCCTGTAGATAATTCTTTCATCATGCATGGAGCGAATACCGTGTTTTTTGCATGATGCGCTATCATTGTGACTCGGACTTTAGTTTTCGTCTAACTCTTACATAGCCCGTTTGACGCATGGCGGGCATAGCAGGCGACCCTGAAAGATTGATGCCTGAGGTCTCATAAAGACCCCATCAATCCCCTTAAAGTCTCTGGCCGTAGATTAAAAAAACAAACTCTCTGCGCCATAAACCTTTGGCTGGCTGTGTTTGAGAGCTCATTTCAAACTACATCGTTTTCTTCTTTTCTTATTCTGTCTCATGCTGAGGGAGGAAAATCAATTTCGTCTTCGATGGCATCCCAAGGACACTAGGTAAAGATGGCTTCAGGGAGATATGGGGCTCGTGAACACGTTTTGTGGTCCCGGAGGCAAAGAGACTCATAGCAAAGAAAGTATATGGCTTTCTTCGCACGAAATGTCGTTTCCGAACGTAAAGAAGCTAGGAAGTTCTCCGCGCTATTTTTACTGCGACAGTAAAGGGAGAACTTGTGGACGAAATAAGACGGCCGGAATGGCGTAGAGATAATGCTGCGTTCGAGTCGGCTCTTTAGACCCTGAATTTGTTTACTGTTCCTATAGTAAATATTCCTGTTGGATCTTTGTTGAAAACTGGAAGACACTTAAAGAATATGCTTAAATATGGCGCCGGATACTTTGGTTAATTAGGCGAATATTTATCACGCCGTGTGTACCGTAATTTGTAATGTTTATTGGCAGAGAAGTTTGCCTTATGCATGCTTGCATCTAAGGTGTCAATGCCCATACCAAGTGCGACAAGGTAAACAAAGACCAAACGACCAACGGAGAAAAAAACTAACGCAGCTAGACCAAAAGCCCTCCAGAGAAAACTGACACAGAACACAAAACAAAGTATACTCACTGCCAAAAAAAAGAAAAGTTGTCCTTAGCTCGTGGAAAGCGTTATATTGGCCACATACGACCGCGCAAGAGAAC